CGTCTGTGTCGTAGCATCTGAAAGCAAAAGTTCCTTCACACAAGTTGGCGCGTCCTCCAATTATTATCGACGATGCCATCTCACAACTGCTCGTACATCCTTCTGGAATGCGACCTCGCATTCTGGTAGTAAGACCATCAACATCTGGGAATCTGAAAAATAAAATAAAAAGAGATTTTTAGTTTGCATTGAGGAAAAAGCATCTTAAATGGTTTATTTCAGCCATTTTCTCTCATCAGCTTAACATCTTCAGAAATAATGGCTCTATGTCTTCTTCAACATCAAAATCAGATGAAAAACCACAAAATTTAGGCAATCTCGCTCTATTTTTTCTATCACCTACAATTCCAAACACAATTTGATGTAAAAGTTTAATAGATTTCGTAGCCCCAGTTCTTAAAGAATTAGAAATTCTAGGAATAGAATTTAAAGTAGTCACCTTGATTCACAATACCGTAAAACACTATTCTTAGAATTAACAATGGGGAAATAATCGAAACAAACTTACTCGTTTTCTCTTGTAATATTCGTCATGGTTCTTCCTAGGCTCATCGCAGCCTAAGCTCCCGAAATCTGTAGGATCGGTATTTATTGTTTAAGGGCTTGAAATAACTAATCCTATTTATGGAAAACTCGAAAATTTAATGAAAGCCTGAATAGTTGCTGTAAACTACAAAGTAATTACATGAACACCTGGAAAAAGATGAGATTATTTACAGATGAAGAGAAGTAACCGTCTTTTACATGCAACTATCTTTTAGAACCGTCACCGTCCTAACGCCCGAATCGTCTGCGTCGTAGCATTGGTTAGTTCCTTCACACAGCTTGGCGCGTCGTCCAATTATTATCGATGATGTCATCATATATGTAGCATATATCTACTCCCTTATCCGGCTTTTATTTTCTCAATCATTGGTCGTAGTTACATACTTCCGGTTACAGAAGTGTTTTAAATGACGAAAGTATTCATGTTTTAACTACGCTCAAATTTATAAAAAAAAAAAAAAAAAAAAAAAAAAAAGAAATCTAACTTTTAATGCATTCTCTCGGTTCCTATACAGTAAGACCCCGCTTAACGCTGTTTCGTTTAACGCTGTTTCGGTTTAGCGCTCTTTTATTTCAACCCGGGGATTCCACGAAATCGCTCGCAGCATACGGGGATTCCCCGAAATATTATGCAGCTACAGGTTTCAAATACATATCCGAAAGAGTGTACTTGTATTTCTTGTTTGGTGCGGTATTGTACAGACATATTTTGAAGGGGTAAATGTGGAAGATGTCGAAGAAATAATTCAAGAAGCAGCGGCTAGTCTTTCTAATGATGAGCTCAAGGAATTAACTGAACAAGAAGAAAACAAAAATGTTGACAGCAGTGATTCAGAAGAAGAGCAAAAAGAACTTTCGATGGCGTTTTTAAAAAGGAGTTTGTCTACCATAACTGAAATAATGGATCAATTCATTGAAAATGATCCGAATTTTGACAGGAGCTCAAAAGTAAGGCGTGGTGTTAGAGATGCTCTATCCGTTTATGAAGAACTTTTAAGAGAACAACGCAAAAGAAAAAAGCAAACAACATTAGATGCTTTTGTCACAAAAAGGCAGAACACTGAAAACGCTGAAGGCTAACTAAATATGACTGACTTTTTTTTGTCTTTGAATTTTGAATTTTATTTGTCTTTTTTAAGAATATTTGTTTTGTTATTTATATTTTGTTTTTATTTTTGTAAGAAATAATAATGTGGTATTAATTTGGGCTTTAAGAAATAAATGTTGGTTTTATTTTATTAAAAAAACATACTTTTTAAATTTAATACCTAACCAATTTCCTAGCCATCTTCCCCTAACCCCAATATTTACATGTAAAGATAGCCTCGTTTAGCGCTGTTTCGCATTACGCTCTACTTTGATGGAACGTATTCCCCGCGTTAAGCGGGGTCTTACTGTACTTGTATTTGGAAACTCGTTATAAAAATGAACTTATAAGAAATTTGATTACAGCCAAAATTGATCTTGATTAATTCCAAAATTTTCAGTTTTTGACATCATTTTCATTTTGCATTGAGGGATTAGTTAACTAAGTTAGAATAATTTCAGGAAATACGTTTAAATGAAGTGCAGCAAAACATATGTGTATAGTTTAACAGACTTTACAAGAAACTGATGTTGACACTATATTATTTTTTATTAAAGAAAAGGAAGATGTCTTTTCTAATCCAATGGTAGAATCAGGTATTTCCATTGGAAGAAAATGGTATATATATATATATATATATATATATATATATATATGCCAGTGATGAAAGATTACTTGGATTTTCAGAGCAATGGCCATTTTCCTATTTTTTGCCATCATTTTGAGAAATTCATTTAAAATTTTCGTAAAAGTCCTGGACATTATGCATTACTTTCACCTTTCTACAGTTCGCTCATGAGCACAGTAATGTTTTCACGTTTTTGAAACTACTGGCTTTCCGGTTTTACTAGCAACTAGGGCTGAAATTTTCTAGTTTTCAGCGGGGCGAAAACGATAGCGTAGAAGGAAATTATACTTTGCTCTCCCATCTTAACAAATCTCTCCCTTGAAATCCAGTGGTGGCAAACTAAGTATTTTTTAATCCGGCAAAAACCTGCAAAATAAACTCCAGTCATCGCAAATGAAGTTATCTTTCTTGTCGCACTTATCAATTAAACCAGGTATGTCTTTTTTGTGATTCATATTTGACATTTCATCAGGTGTCCTTTCTCCACTGAGACAGTGATTTTCAGTCCATGTTTAGCTTTTCAGGCCATCTCCAAGAAACTGAAATACAGTAGAACTCGAGTTATCCGAATCAATTGGCACCAGACCCCATTCGGAAAGTCAAAAATTCGGATAATTAGACTTTAATTAATTGCTGTATGTACTGTATGTTGATAATGAAAAAAAATCTATTTTTAAAGAAAAAGAGGTTTTAATTAATTAAAATGAAAACGCAACACTTTTAAGTACATGTTATATATCGTACTGCACGTTACTCGCAAGTGCTGAAAGCCATTGCTTGCAGAACATTTCGGTCAAAGTAAAGTTTTTGACAGTTTTCATCCGTTTTCCGGCAGCCAAGACAAGCGTCCGCTTGACAATGAGAAGTTGCATGTGGTCACACTCGGTCTGACGCTCCATCCACTTCAGCATAGTTTCAAGGTCGGCAAACCCTTCACTAGCTTATGATCCAGTGTCTGCTTCAACTTTCAGATTTAGGTCATTTTCTTTCTCGACACTTTGTTCTCTCATAATTTCATTTAGAATTCATTTAGAAGTTCATCATTTAGAATTTGAAACCCAAGGTCCGAATAATCACACACCATCCATTCTGCTGTATCCTCAGCTCTAACTTCTAAACGTCCAGGAATTTTCAAAAGAATGTTTCTCAATTCCTCAAGTGACACGTCATCCTCATCTTCTTCTCTTCCCTTTCCTTTACTTGAGCTTCTTTTTCCTTTTCTCCTTTTCCTTCTCTTCTTCAGTTGATTGTGAAAAATTCTGAAAGCGATTCGCATAGTCGGAGTTCGAATAATTGGAGTTGTACTGTATTTTCAGTTTGGGGCTATTAGGCAAAACGAATCACACACCATCCTTTTTATTTTACTAACGCACTGATAGCTGCAAAGCAGAAGCTCGCCTTTTTATGGAGCATTGTGTCAAAGCGGATTCCAAACTTTAACGAAATTCAGACCAGAAAAATTTCCCTTCTAACTCCTGATGGAATCATCTTTATTTCCCTATATCTCTTTCAAGGCATATACCGGCAAGTGGACTATTTTACCTCGATTCGGAAGTTCGATTTCATGCAATTAGGGTTTTTCTCCCTCTTGCTTGAATTATTTCTTTCTTCAATAAGATGGATAAAACCTTTCTTTCCTCATAAAATCTTTATATAAACACTTAAAATCGGAGACAAAAATTACAAGGATTTCCTTACAATACATTTAGAACGCACCAATACTCGGACAAGTAGAACAAGAAATGACTGGGAAAGAACCAAAGCTCTGCGTTGAGTGAAATTAGGAAGATAGAAGGGTAAGGTAACCAATGAAATAGTTGAAGCCTGGTGTTTTAAAGAAGCCCCTCTAAGAAAACATTTCTTAGATTGTTCAAAATACCATGACTATATAAGAATTATAAGGTGTAGTAAAATGGTAAAATGAGATTCATTTGTCTGAACACAAGTTCAGTATAAACTTAAGACAGCAGCCAGCAAGCGAGATACTTAAGCATTATTTTCCTATTACTAACGCAGGTACCTAGAAAAATCGTCTTCTAGAGAGTGAGTTCAGAAGTGACATATAACTGAAGTTTCTATGATTGTTTATTGCAGATTTTCACCTAAACTACACCGAATTTCACATAAAACTTTGTATTTTGTGAGTGAGATAGTTTGCTTTAATTTTAATTATTGTAGTATTAGTTTTGTATTTCAACTAATATTAATTCATTTAGAAGTCGACGAGAGTAGAAAATATAATAAAAGCAAAACGTTAAGATAACTGATTCAAATTAATAATATCTTACAGCTTCAGAAATTTTATTTCCAAAATGCAAAAATAATACTTAGGTATATTTGAGAAAACATTTTCTCGTGTTGTGACCATTAAGACATTTTATTTAAATTACAAGCATTGTTTACGGTTCATTACATAACTAAGAAAAAGAAATGTCATTTATCTTTAATAAATTCTAATGACAATAGATTTCATGAAACCCTATTTACTGAAAGGCCTCTCTTTTTGAATACCTTAAAAATCAAACATGCAGGCTGAGGCAGATGTTATTCAGGTAAAATAGATGGCAGAGATCGAGGTAATAAATAAATTACTATGGACACCTTGTCATCATTGTAAATATATAAACAGATGTTCCTGAAATACAATAGACAGCAAAAAAAAAAGAGCTGCATCAACACATGTTTTTGTTATAACGTGTACAAAAAGGCAACTGTATAAATAAGACTGAACTTCAAATTCCTGTTCTGGTACACTGATCTAAGAGAAAAGCTTCTTGTTGAATACAAATCAAAACCAGGTAAGGTACTATGAATATATTTATTTATCCGTATTATTTTATATTTCACTGTAACTATTGTAAAAACAAAAAAAACAACAACAAAAAAAAAAAAAAAAAACTAAAGCAGACAAACTGAAAATTCATTGCCGAATTAATGTAAATTTCAAATTTACATAATCTATTCATCTTTTAGAAACTCAATAATATCAAACGTCTGATCCAATGCAGAGAAATATCCAGTGATCTTTAAAAGAAGTAAACTCACAGACATACCATGTTCCTGCATTTTAAATATTTGCTTTAATTTTTGCCAAGCCTCTGAAACAATAAATCATAGAGATTTCTTTTCATGAAATATCATTATTTTTATGCAAGTAGAGAAATGTTTGAATATTGCAGTTTTTCTGTATGAAGCAACTAATGTCAGCAAAATAGAAGGGGTACTAGTATCATAAAGAACTGAAATAAAATCACTTGTTTAATTTTTTAACTATCGACTCATAATTGGTGACAAGAAAAATATCTCCGAAGGGCTTATTGTTTTCATTCTGGTATCAAATTTTGTTTGCGAAATGTACGCGCTGATGCCAACTGATAGTACATAATATTTTTTTCTTTTTTTGTTATAATACTTTGTTTATGTATGTATTATCAAAACGTATTATTTAATACAGAGTAAATGAAACTTTAAAAATTAATTTTACTTCGGTTATTTAATAATACTGTATCTTATTCACAAAATAAACCCACCCCTTTTTTTCTTTGATTTGAAAGCCTGTAATTAGACAGAAATAAATTACTCTATGTATGATATTTTTACGAACGGTTGTTAAAAGAACGTCTGATTTCTGCTATATATGCTGATCAGGAAATTATCAGCATATATGTTTTCGCCTTCAATAGATTATCTGATAGCTTTTTCTTTGGAATATATCACATTTTAAAACTCCCTCATTTTTGCTCTGGAAAATAATCCATGCATTTCAAATTTTCCAATATCTACATTTTGATGATGATACATGATGATGATGGAAACATGATGCGTCCTGAATAAGAGCAGGGAGCTTACTCAAGCTATGTTCAAGATTTGTGTGTAACAGATGACACAAACAGGAAGGGTATACGAAACCCTTTATTTTTTATATTTTTACAAGTACTCCCGAAGTTAGGGATACAAAGACCAACCACTTGTGGTCTGAACGTAAGAATATCAAACTACTAACTAAAACTCTAACTAAAAGCTAACTTTGAATTAGTATACAAATGCCTAGAACTAAGACTGGCCTTTATTTAAAAGGGTACGTATGTAGTCCGCCGAGCTGCTGAAACTACAATACGTTTACAAATATCAAGAGGGCTAAACCTCTGGCCTTAAAGGCCACCAGCAACTGAGTAAAACTCGTAAAACTGCAGTGGCAAGCGGCTTGCTTTCTAAATCTCCTTCTCTCTCTAACTCTTGGCAAAAAGCCACAACTTAAGTACTTGGGCGTTAGCAAGACAGTTTGCATAAACAAGTTAAGGCATTTAATTCTGGCCGGAAGTAGAATATAAGAAGTGATAGTACAGTTTTAAAATAAAATAAACGTTAGTAAAACTTAGGATCCTTACACACTGTAAAATATAAGCTTTTTTTCATGTTATTAGCTCCTGTTTCCTTTTTGTATTGCTATGCTCTTATTTTTTCATTCTTAAGAATTCCCTCTTTCTATTAGTTCATCAAAGAATCATGCAATATCTGACTATACTCTTGTCAGTGACAACTTTGGTATATGCTCAGAACGTGCAAACCAAGATATTTTCCATTCAGGAACTACCTGATGTAGCCAGCAAAGTTCTCCTAATAGTTACATGGTCAAATAATCCTCAAAAGGAAATACCAAAAATAACAAATTGTGAAATATTTTCAGATGAGTAAGTATTTCTTTAATAAAATTATATTTTTCATAACCTACATATAATTTAGGTAAAATAAGAAAATATCGATTATCCTATTAAATGAATAGCGTTATAATTTTATTTTCCCCGTAATTTAATTTTAATTTATGTTTACTCCGATATAATCAGGAAAGTCTTTATAGTGGTTAATGATCAGTGATGCAATCTATAAGCTTTCACGTCAAAATCGTGGCTAGCGATCCTCGGTTCATCCCTAGAAAGCAGCAAAAGATACATAGTTATAATATATTAATAAAAATCTGATGTGGACGCCACATGACTTCCTTTTGCGGTCTATTAAATTATATACATTTTGTAATGGACTTCATTTAAACCTATTTACTCGAAATATTCAACTTAATTAACCGATCTCTTGATCACGAAGTTGAAAATAATATCAAAATTGCAAATGTTGAAATTAAACACCCCTCTCAGTTTTTATCGTATGGGTGCCAAATTTCTTATAATATTATTTTGTGTCAAAACGAATATAAAACGTTTTCTAGTATAAGTATAGAAAACGGGAGATCGCACTGAAAGTTAGATTTTTGTTATTGGTGAAAAATTAATTTTTTTTCAAGTTTAACATTGCCCAAACATGAATATTTTCGTCACTGAAAACACTTCTGCAATAGGAAATATGTCTGTACGACCAACAGTTACAAAAACAAGGGTCGGCTAAAAGTGTAATCGCTGCTCAAAGGTAATCTCGTGCCTACCAAGTGTGAAGAGTGTCTGCGAAGTGTGGATAGCATTCACAGAATTACCTGTGTTAGAGTTGGATTATTCTTCTATAGAATGCTATGATATCATTAAGAGAGTCGACAATACTGTTATCAATGGCAGATATACTCAAGTTTCAACTATAATAAATTTATCCAAATGAATAGGAACACAATAAGAAAAACACTTCATGATTTGTTGTCTGTGTAAGTTAAATATATATTTTGCTATGGCTAATACGATTAGATTGCAAATCAAATTTCTTTCAGTTTAAAATAGAAGTTTGCAAATCAGTCAGTTTTAAGTTCTGTTGATAAAGCTCTAAACTGACTTTTACGAGATTAAAAACATTCAAAACAGACTTGGCTGTAAATTAGATGAATAATCTGTTGATTTTGATGCTGCTTAAACGAATGCTTTCCCATTTTTGAGGAATTTAATTGTAAAATACATTGTAGTGGATATGCTGCGAATAAATATTGACTACATTTCGGTGATTATATAAGATAGTTCATTTTTTTAAAATAATATTGAAATTACGGAAAACAACTTGAAATTTGTAAGATTAAGAGCCTGTACCAAAACCCTATCCTATGCGTAGACAGAAAAATAATTGTTGGGTTTAAAAGAACGAAAAGGCTGAAACTTTTTAATCCAGTGTTCAAATATGAGGTTTCTCAGTCAAATCAATTCCAGTAACATGTTTCATGCCAGTAACATGACGGAAAGAGACCGTTACGGTGGTCCTGGAGTGTTCTCATCTGGAAAAACATTATGCTGCACGGACGGACAGAGCTCCACGTTTTCGACAGAAGTTCTGTAATCGGAGATCGCTATTTTCAGGAGGTGATCCTTCCGCCATATGTGTCTGTTCCGAGGTGCCATGAAAGCAGAATTCGTTTTTATGGATGACAATGCACGGCCACACCGGACTTCTCCTGTTCAAAAGCTACTGGAAAGAGAAGATACACGCGAATGGATTGGCCAGCCTACTCCCCTGATCTAAATCCCATAAAACATATGGGATGCTTTGGGGGAGACGTCTTGTGGCCCGATTACATCCTCCGAGGAGTATTCAACAACTGAAAAAGATGCTGAGTGAGGGATGGGAGCTCTTACCTCTACATCTGTTGGATAATCTAGTGCTGTGTATGAAGAGACGCTGCGAAGCAACCATTGCGGTAAGTGGAGGGCATATCCCATACTAAGGAACATCTGCTTGCTGTTCATCCTCTGCTACAGACAATTATGTGTAACAATACTATGAGTACAATAAAGCCTTTTTACTTTGATTCCATACTGTACACATTGTAGCCATTTTTGTGTAACTATGCTTTCGTCATCGTTTAAATACAAAATTCTGTCTCTTATTTCTGAATTCCATGTCTCTCAGATGATTTTTTGTGGAGTTATGGCAAAAAGAACACCAGTTGCTTAAATTTTGCACACCAGTGTACTACGTATATATTCTCTAATAAGCTGAAAACTAATAGAAATTTTTCAACCAATTATATAAAATTCTATAACGATCAATATCTGACTTTGATAGTAAAGTAATAAATCTGCTACATATTTGTATTTTCCTTTGCGAAAGATGTGGCATCATCTTAACAACAGCGTTTTTAAGTAAAAAAATAATTCTTTTGGATTACTATTATATGGAATTCAACTGAAACTTATAACATTAATTTTACACAGTTTATTGTTCAGTTAAATGTACATTAAATTCTAAAATGATTAAAATATTCCAATAAATACTTAGCAAAAAGCTATAGCTGAGGATTGCTACCTAAAAGAAGTTATAGGAACAAATTTAGCGGTTTATACTTTATTGGTAGAAATATGAAAGTGCAAACTACTTCCGCAACCGATTGGAATTACCAAATATAAAATTTTATTGATTGGTATAACTGTGAAGTGTACTCAAAGCTTTTTTAAGAATGTAAATTTCCGTAACTTTAAACTAAGTTTAAAACAGAAGAAAATTTTTTGCCCTCTATATTATCACCGCTAATCTAAAAACTCACAATCTTCATCTTCAATTTGTTGGTTTTAATCGCACATATTTTGTAGATTATTTCTTAATACTTTAAAACATTGCTAAAACATAATGACATATTTTTAACACGAATATTACGAGTAATATATAACACTAACACGCTACAAACCCATTTTTCTCAAAACTAAACACTTAAAGCACTATTTTCCTTCCCCGGAACAGCTATTTTATAGATCTGCAATTTTGATCTAGTACTGACATTTATTGAATTGCTAAATTGTTTATCAGGTTAATCGTGTATTCATCGTGTATCTAGTAGTGTATAGATTCATTCAAATGCTGTGTAGATATTATTTTCCATTAATTAGATTTTATCTGCTTATGATGTCAATAAAATGTTTTATAAAATCTCAAAACAAAACTCTCAAAATTTGTTCTAGAACCTTGCGATCAAAGATACAACAAAAGAGACTGTTTACTCATATGAGACCTTTTCTGTTACACATTACACATTTTCGGGTATTTGTATTCGCAAAATCTCCCCAAAATTGCTTAAATCTTTAACTATATTCTACGGTCTCGCTTAGTATAACGAAAGTAAGCCTCAGAGGTTTTAAAGGCCTGTTGTCAGTCTGTCGCTCATTTGAAATACAGAATAAAGAAGAGAAGTTCCAAAGTCATATTTTAAAATTTCTAAATAAGTCAAGAATGAAAAACATTTTTTCAAATAGCTTTTTTTGGAAAATACAGAGAGTGTTAGCCCATTTTCAGAACAATTTCGATAAAAAATTATAATGTTAAGGTATAAAAAATTCTGACAATAACGCACAATTTGAAATGAGAAATACCGCCTGATAACTTTAAAATTTATTATTGTTTAAAAAATGTCGCACGTAAACGTACTTATGTTTGGTTTATTCCATTACGGTAAAGTAAGCCAGAGCTATCTGCTTGAGGGAAAAGGACGGACTTCATGAAGGACTTCTTGAATAAAACTGATTTGTATCCACGCGGAGTGATATGCTTTTTGCCCATAACGAGAAAATTATTCTTACTCCGTACTTCAAAAATAAACAACAAGCTTTATCGGAAAGGAAAAATTCGTCAAAAATTACTTTTGAATGGAACCAAATCCAAAACGACGGTGCTTCTAATGTTTTTAAAGTTATAAGGGAAATGCCCTAGTTATAATGGAAAGTTCGCAGCAGCAGAAATGAATTGCAAAATCTTTGAAGAGATCAGTATAGATAATAAACAAAGATTTCCGGAGTAAAATAAATTGTTAAAGAACAGAAAGTTTACCAACTTTCGCCAAAGACAATAATTGAACCTTAAAATATTGTGGAGCTAAGAACAAACATCGAAATAAATTTAATTTCATAATAATATCGCTGTTGAAACTGCTGTGGTTTACTTTATTAGTATCTAGCTAAATTAATGTTACTTGAAGCTAGAAGTTGGTAGCCACTGTACAGACATTAGGGTTTTTTATAGGAGGAGACATGAAAAATGAGCAATGCCCTGGCCTGGACTCGAATCTGGACCTCTCGAATACGGGCCGAGTGTGCTACAGCACGAGTGCATATTGGAAGGAGAGAAAAAATAACATTATAACCTAAAATGACTACAATTATAAATGGTGTTACGAAACCATGAGCTGATAGACAAACGGCCCTGACTAACAGCGCTCGAGCAAGGCAGATGATTTTGAATAAAAATAAACAGTTGAGAACTTGAGTAACGGAAAAAATGGTCCCATGAAAAACAAATGAAGAGCTGTAATAAATTGTTGTGATGTATATGTTTTGTAAATAGACTGTAATAAAATTTGTTCTAATAGCTTCACATTATTGGATTTGTGAAGATCAACTTATTCAGAACTGTCGAAACTGGTCACACAATTATCGACGTAAAATGATTATTTTAATTTCCTGGCTGTTTCTTGAGTTTTCTTCTCCACATTATCCAAGTGATATGCTAAGAAGCACCTAATAAAAAAAGGGCTTGAAGTTACTCGAAATGGTACTCTGCAATGTCTATAGATTACTAAGTTATTTGGATCACCATTTTGATACCACAAGAGCCTCAAATAATCTCTATCTTGTGGATTCAAATTTATCTGCAAAAAGGCTTGACGTATATCAGCTGTTACTCCGTATCTTTTCAGTCAAAATCGTAAAAGTATAGAAGGTTCTAACAGATTGGGACCCTTTTCTAAGCAAGAACTGAGAGAAAAAAATTCTTTTCATGTGCTGAAGCGTCAAATACTGGTCTGAATTTAGTAGTGGAAGAATACTTTATTACTGGATAAGGCGGTAAATAGAGTCCGAATAGATATAGTAATGGAACTTTTTCTATATTACCTTGTAGAATACAGTCCTTAATAACTTCTTGATAATCATTCAAGTGACCGTTAGCAGCAAGTTTACGAACAGCAGTCAAAAGTCTCTTTTCAGAGAGTTTTCGACAATTAGAAATTGGCGGATGCGTTTTCAACCACGACAGCGATACTGTATATTTACCATCTTCATCTCGCTTTATGGTTTCGTGAAATTTATACAACGTAGCCGCTTGCAAGCCTTGTTTTAGAAGGCTTTCTGGAGGATCTGTGATACCTATAGCTTCAAGCTTCCAAAGATCGGCAACAGCACTTTCATTAATGAACAAGGAAAAAACAAAAATAGCATCTTCATGTGTATACACATTCCGCAATTTTCCTATTACTGTTCACCCTAAATAAGTTTCAATTGCAGTTAATCCGAATTTCAATTTCCTCACGCTGCCAGTGGCCGCTTGCAGATATTGCTTCCCAATAAGAAGTTGTATTTTTGCAGGTTGCAGTAGAAGATTTTCCTCCTTATTGTAATCACTTGTTCACTCTTTATTATAATCAGCCATTTTCCTTGTCGTCTAAGTTCTTTCGTCCACATTCTCTTTGTCACACTTTTTACAGCAGCCCATATTTCGTTTTGGTCATTAACTTCAAAATTTAATTTATAAGTACCTTCTATATTACTTATTATCACGCGATATTTTTATGTTCCTGTACTAATTCTGTACCTCCAAAAAGACTATGTTTCATTTTTTCTTCAACCACTGGTTTATACCCCATATCTGATGCCAGTTCTTTCGTAATATATGATATTTGAGACCCAGTGTCAACGAGGGCTCTAATAAGCTGTTGATTCTGATTTTCATGAATTCGGACCTTCAGAGTTTGCATCAGTATTTCAGGCATACTTGTCTGATTCGTCACAAAACGCCCTGTAATTTCGGCAATCTGATCATGTTTATCCTTTTCGGTTTCCCTGCACTCACTTACGTTGGGACACATAAGCAAAATAATGTTTACTAAAAACACTTTGTACACTTAACAAATTTTCTACAATCTTTAGATAAATGACCTGGAGTTACACAAGTAAAACACACACCTTTCTTTAACAAAATCTGCTTTCTTTGATCTAAAGACATACATCTAGCAGATTTACATTCTACCCAATAGTGGTTCTCACCACAAAAAGTACAATTTCCCTTTTTGTAGGATTTACTTTTGTCGATTCGTTGTTTTAAAGTCCCGCAGCTGCCGGTATTTCATTCTGCCCTCCATGTTTATGTTTCTACATTAAACCCTTGTCTGACCATTGTTTTCTTTCTTCACCTTCAACTTCTTTCTTCAGAAATGTCATCAAAAGTTCTAATTTGTTTGTTGAAATACCTTGTCAGCTGAGGCTAATTTTTTTCCCCATATTCTCAAAATATGATCGGGTAAACAGGCTTCAACAAGAGGATACAGCATAGCTGCATACCTTTAAACCTTTAAACTTTCTAATGCACGTATATGTGTTTCTATTTTATCATACAGTTTAAATACCGAAATTTTATTCGCAGAATTACTACTATTTTTCTTCACTAAACAGCGTAGTTCCCTCACATAAATTTCAACCAAAAGATCGTCTCTTCCAAACCTATCTTTCAAATATTCGATAGCTGTATTATAGTTTTCAGAAGTAGGTACAAAACTCTCTACCAGATCTCTAGCTTTAGATACAGGTTCCGGGTACACTGTAGTAAATACTGATATTTATCTTCGGGGTCAATTTCCTGATCTTCATGAATTTTCCTAAATCGGCCCCAAAATCCCAACCATTCTTTTGCCTCGCCATTAAACTTTTTAATTCAATTTTAGGAAGTTTAAATTTCCTTTTAACAGCTTCATTTTTATCTTTAGGTAAAATATTTTACTTTTTACTAAAGTTCTGTTCAAGTCTAGTTACTTTCGTTTTAAAATATATAAATTTATCATTGTATGATTCAGTCGTTTCGATTTCTTTTGCAAATTCTTCATTAGAACACTTGGTATCTTAACTGTTCAATAACTCTAATACCTGTTTATCCAAAGTATTTATTTTTTTTCCATTTATCATCAAATTGAGCGAAAAGAACTGTAATCGTATCTAAATCTAATGTATCGACCTTTAAAAGTTCATCTAAATTATTCGCAGTTTTAGTAAAATTTGTTCTTAAACAACCTCTAAATCGTTAAACAACCTCTAAATCGTTAAAGTTCTTCCATAATTGAAATCAAAAGTAGTGTTATTACTGTCCGCAAACCAAATTCTTAATAAATAATTCAAAGTTCAACAAATGTTCATTACAGAATCAATCATTCAAATTTTAATAGTAATACCCTCTATTTAAAATAAAAAATCAAAACTCTCTATTTCACTGTAATAAATTTTGAATTAAAGCTACTTGGCGTCCTGTCCTGATGTATACGTTTTGTAAATAGACTGTAATAAAGTTTGTTCTAATAGCTTCATATTATTGGATTTGGGAAGATCTACCTGGTAGTTAGACTGAAAGTAAGTAAAAAGTAAATTCAATTTTGTTAATTTGATAATTTGTATTTTTACGTAACGTAACAAATGGTTTGTTTATTACCCAAAACAAGGAGAGAAAGATGTGCAAAGCTGCCAACGACAATGTTAAAATCCTTTCGAGGAGGAGTTTTTTACCGTAACAGGTTTCATCTTCAATATAAAATTTTAAAATAAAAAGGTCATTTAACATGAAACTCATGATGCAGACTTTAGTCTAGGAAAAGAACAATCAACAGAATACGTAAAAAAGTGTTCACACTTTAAATAATAATTTAACAGCTTTTGAAATTATTCTAAAAGTGTGTTAAAATTTGCAATTAGAAATTTGCAGTGATTATCGCAAGCATTATTTAAGAATACCTATTTATATCCGAAATTTGAATATGTCACATTCTTTGAAATACTCAGTTTTTTCAAAATTATTCAGTGCAAATGTTTCATAATTACAAGCAAAATTAGAGTATAAACATATGCTTTGTGCGTAATTCATTATATTTTGCCTGTAAATTTGTAAATCTAAATGTATAAATAAATATTATTTTTTATATAATTTACCATCAGTAAACTGAAAAAAAAAATTATAACTTTACTTGTACCTAAACTTAGGAAGATTGTCGGACACATTTTAAAGGAGGCTGGAGAGAGTACCGTCATTAAACCAAGCATAGAAGAAGTGGTACATCTTGTTAAAGATTGCACGGGACTTTTGTCCCGCAACTCAGAGACAGAAATATTTCGCACTGCACTTCAGAGATTTGAGCACTTTAGGGAGATCAGGAGAAGAGGATTTCCAATATCAAATGATGCAGAGATGAGGACTTCTGAGGAGACTATGGAAAAATGGAAATCTGACTCACATGATTCATGGTACATTTTTCCGGGTAATTAGACATACATTTACCCTTTTCGTGTCTTGTGATATTCATAAATTTATAATTTTAATTATGAATCTTAATCGTTGATGGTAAGATGATGTCAATCATTGATGTCTGCTATCTTGAACTATGCAAACTCAAAAAGGGGGTGAAAGACATCGACGTTCAACATCGATAGAAGAAATCAATGTTCCAGGTCTGTTTTTAAAAATATTTCTACCCTTGTATTGAGTTTTGGTCTTAACAAGACCCTTTCAATAAAATTTTTAGCTTTCTTTACTTTTTATTATAAATTATAAATTTTAAATTTAATTTTTGGTACATTCTCAAAGTTTAAACTCTATAAGCTAGTAGGTCCTCCCATAAAATTTTGTATTTTTTGACTAACAGCAAATCGCTATTTATTTTATTTTGTACATTGGCATTACTAGTCCATTATGTATAGTTATTATTACACCTTAATGTGTTTCTTCAAGCGGACGCGTCGGGAAATGGGAACAGAGAATTGAGACTAAAGTTTTCAATTAATATTTGAAAAGGAGTTTCACGATATGGAGTTAGCTGGATTCGAAAATCATAAAAAAAAATTTCCCCTGAAGAGTCCTTAATGAGATTCGAATTGGGCTAATCTACCACTTACAGCTTCTTTGTTTTTGTATTTTTGTATAAGTCTTTTGTCACACTTTAATTCTAATGTTTAAAGTATGCCTTACTTTGATCAGCATATTACTTACAATTAGTATTGAATTATATATATGTATATAAATAATATATAATTGTTTAAAAATATGGGATGTAAATAAATTACATATAGTTAGAAAATTATGTCAGTATCAAGCAGAACAAAATTTTGGCATTTTATAATTACAGGCTAAACCTATGATATCACAGAATTTGTATTGTTTCTAAAATTATTCAAATGCAATGTTTACATGATTTTTCAAAATTTTCTGAAATTATAATCAACTATCTCAGAGAAATCACTCATGCAAGCAGAAAATTCACATTTTTATGATATCTTAATCAGAAATGTAATTACTATTGAATCTTATTAGCACATTACTTGGTTAAAATTAATAAACTATTAATTTTTAAATATTATACTGAAACTGATATTGAACACTGATCTTAAAGATTATACTGAAAAGTTAACTTTTATGTCATGCGTAATGATATATTTGTATAAATTTGTATACAAAAAACATTTTATGTAAGCATTTAAAGAAAATATTCTTGATAGCGAATCGGTCAGACAACGAATAGCTCAACGGTAAAACGGTATGAAGGAGAAGCGGCACGGCAAAGGCTTACTCCCTTTACACCTAGCGGCAACCATATTACTTGCTAAGTTCTTAATGATGTCTAGGAACAATCTCGTATGCGTGGCTGATGCTTCCTCCGATCCGCAGGACTACGCGTCCAATATAGATCTCCGCCAAGCGCATCCAGTTAAAAGAATAGCCATATGGTTCCTCCTGAAAAAGATGAACGGATGTGAAATGAATCTGCGATTTATGAGGGAGGATAAATCTATATTGATTGTTCAGGGCTGTAGGGACATGAAGGAGCGGGCTACTACGGTATTGTACTACGGTATAGACATCTACGAGAAAAGATATACAAGTTGGGGGACCTTAACATAGACTCCCAGCAGTTCTCTTCGCCATTAAGAAGGGGCTCGATTGGATTGGTGGTTGCAGTTCCACAACAGAACAAGAACATCCATACACATTGTTGCTTTCCGTGTGGCATCGTACGTCGTTGCTTTTCGTGTGGCAAACCCAAATCACTGCCACTTTCTTGGTTAAGAAAATAAAACAACTATTTCGGCAGGCATTAACTATTACTGATGGGGGAGCTTAAATGGATCAAGGCGCATGGAGGCTACTGCGGCGACGAACTGGTCGATGATCGTGCGAAACGTGTCCCACTGAAAGATGTAGTTGATACAAATTTTCCCATACTCATCGCTAGATTCCCACAAAGTTTGAGGGATATAGTTCGCCGTGAATAGCAGACTCAAAGGGAGTCGTCCGAAACAGAATGTCTATCATTCCGTATAATTAACAAAGGTCGCCCGAGAATTCTGAATTAAATTCAATTGATTACGAGAATGCAGCACTGTAACCATTATGCCAATCAGTTGATTACTGGCCATTTCAGATTTCCACATTACCTCCCGCGAGTCGCTGGGTTGGTCTGTGCGATGTGACTCTAGAAGAGGCGAAGGTGATGCGCTTCACTACCTAATGGAGTGCGAATTGACTCAGATGGCCCATGAGAAGCTCCGTTTCAATCGGACTAATCTGGGAGCTTTGTGGACGAACACTAATGTTCTCCATCCTTAGCAGCTTTCAAGATACGTCAGAGAGTTCCAGCAAATCTGGAGGTGAATATGGCAGGACTTTTCATTACTCGAGGCACAACAAAACATCTTCGGGTGTGTGATGTAGCCAGAAGTTCGATAGCCCAACGCAGCGGACATACTCAAATACTTCAAAGACCTAGACCTCACCATAAAACCCTAATATACACGTATTTGTTCACAGTGGGGCTGACACTCCAGACCTTTGTCCCATTCCATATTCCAAGAAGGAGCATAATCATATAGACTTACACAGAATTTCCGTCAAAAAATAATTCCGTTACGAATGACTGAACGAAACTGAATCCCCTCCCCTAAAATTCCATTTATCGCCAGCTACGACCAGGTCTTGCGTTGGAACATTATTCATATCTAAAAGTTAGCTCTTCGTTATTCTTAGCCTTGGCTGTCCAGTGAATCCTTAGGAACTCTTTACGTTTCCCACTTCACATGTGATAAAACATAACGTTTTCCTGCAGTGTTTTTTCATTCCACTGCTTTCAGGAACAAAATGGTGCGGACCGGGAGATGTAGCTCAAAGTTTTGATGATCTTGGTTCTAGTGCGGATACTGACAAGTGTTGTAGAGCTCATGACCTATGCGATGACCTACTCAGACCAGGAGAGAAGAAAGAGAATATAATCAACACATCATGGTTCACACTGTAAGAATTTCATATTTGATTTTATTATGATTATTTGTAATAAAATTATCTTTTCTATTTTTAATAAATACTGACAAAATTTTTCATTGTAATACAAGAATTTAAGTTTTTGAAATCCAACCGGGTTGCATGCAAATGAATGAACGTAAAACTTTGCCCTGAAATTTCACGATTTTACTAAGTTACTAATCAAAAAGATTTTAAAGCCAGCAGTGTTGCTGATTGGGTTGAGGGAAGGGATGGCTTAGCGCAGAAACTGTCAAGGGAAACATTTTTTCATTCTTGTTATACCTGAGGAATACCATCAAAACTCCTCCTGAAGAAACGGCATTGAGGCTGATTGAATTCCTCTTCCCTTATGTTAATTTTTTTTTTTAAATTTCATTGATTTTTTGAATTGGGATATTGCTTGTTTGAAGTGTTTTGGTTTTAACATTTATTAAATTCTTTTTTGCATTTATTGGATTATTTGAAATTTATTACTTACGAATTTCAGTTTTTGGTCTTTATGAAAAACTTGTTCTAAATTTATATATATGTATATATATATGCACATTAATCGTTTCATCGTTTTTTCTGTATCCTACTGAAAAACGACAGATCAGGATTACCCAATTAAAGCAGTCGATAGAAACATATCGAGGGTAGGGTAAATCTCTCATTGATATAAACAAGTCATAATAAGAAAACAGACTGAAGAACAATGCGCTTCTCATTATATGAACGTATTACAAACTTAGCATATCTAAACATTTTAATTTCGCGTGTAATTTCTAATTTGGCAAAAATTTATTTCAGGTTGAGTTGCGAGTGTGATGACGAATTTTATGACTGCTTGAAAAATGTTAGCTCAAATACTTCTAATTCCATTGGCAATGCGTATTTCAATCTAGGTGGGAGCAACTGTTACACTTTAAACTATCCACTTACAGACAAGTGTTTAAACAGGTAAGTCATTCTGCAACACCGAATGAAATAAAAGTTGAATAATCATGCACATATCCTCTTTTAAATTCATTAAATGTTCACTTGTTTACTTTATACCATCTATTCTAAGTTTTCAGGAATAAAGGAGGTGTTTACCCTTTTTATGAAAACTTATGAGGCAACAAAAGAATTCACGTTAATAACTGGTATTAGTTTCTTAAATACTTATTTTCGTAAGTCTTTTCATTAACTACTGAAGTGCATCTTATTTTAATGATCAAGCGACATTCCATAATTTGCAATTGAAATCCTTCCGCTTGTAGAGGCTTTAGGTTATTTTGAAGCAGAACATATAAAAAATGTGCAGCTCCCTCCCGGGGACTCGAATCACGGACCTTTCGAATATTCGTCAAGTATGCTTTCTCTTACACCATGAAGACATGCAGAAAGAAGGGAGAAAATCCGTTATATCTTCTCCTTTTCAAAGAGCGACTGTAATGAGAAGACATAATCTCCAAATCCTGGGCTCACAAAATATCCCAACCACCTTTTAGTTCGGGCGCTGCTTGTTGTTTCATTAGGTTATATTGAAGCAGGAGCCGTGAAAAATGTGCAGGGCCCTATCCGGAATTCGAACCATAGACCTCTCGAATACGCGTCAAATATGCTTTTAATTATATCACGAAGACATGAGGAAAGGAGGGAGAAAATACCTCATGTGCTCTTTGTCTCATTTTCATAATCTTTCAGTTGTCGTTGGTTGAAGTGAAACTGTTTTGAAATATTTGAAAGGAGAAACTCAATATCACTTTTCATCAGTTTCCATTTCCAGTTTTCCCAAAATTTTATTCTACATGTTGATATGTAAATCATACTTTTTTACAATGCGTGTAAAAATGAGATTTCTTTAATAAATATTGGAATTAAAACATTATTTTACGCAGGGTTCATCTTAAATTTTATTTCAAATCTTAATTTTTGTTTTCCATTTCCGAGAACACTCGTTATAATCATAAATTTTCAAAATCTTAAATCCAGGTTTCCATGTATCTTTCTCCACTTTTAAAACGGTGAATCATTCATTTTCTATAACAATAACTGAATTGTATTTTATCGTTTACAGTCACAAAATTCAATTTTCTTGTGAAATATGAATCGTAATTAATCCTACATCTGGTCTTACACTTTGATGCATGTCTGAACAGACGAGAATGAGCAGTATTTTTGCTTTCTTCTTTATATTAAACTTATTATTTATTACAGGAATTTTTAAAGCTGAGGATATCGCCCGTCGAATAGGCTGAGTAGGATGTTTCTCTTTTATAACCAAAGATTTTATTTTTGAAATTGTCTCTAACGTATACATTTTTAACAGATAAACATTTAGTGTTCTGTTTCCTATATAAAGCAATTTTTGTCAATTTGGCCTACATGCTGCATATAGTGCTGTCAGTCATGCTGCATATAGTGCCATTAGATACTTTCACGTAAGACTCGTACTTCTTTTTATTTATCGAAAACTGGTTAACAAGAAACTGAAAACTGTTGAGAGAACATTTTCTTATTATTTTCCTATTACAAAAATCGGATGTGGACATTGCATGACATCCTTGTAGGACCTATTAAATTATGCACATTTTTTACTGAACTTCATTTATATTTATTTCCTTAAATTATTCTAAATTAATTAATAATTCTTTCAAGGCAAGTTGAAAATGACATTAAAAATTAAAAATTTTAAGTTTTAAAAATACAATCCATTTCTGTCGAACGGTAAATCAAACTTCTTATTATTTTATTTTTTCATGACGCGTATAAAACTTACCCAAATATAGAAACCAAGAGACAGCATTAAAAGTTAGATTTCGTTATTTGTATAAAATTATTTTTTTAAATTGACGTTTTCCAAACATGAATATTTTTTTCATTTAAAACACTTTTGTACCTTGTAATATTACTACGACCAACGATTGTGAAGATAAAGGCCAGATAAGGACTTTAAAGTCGGATAAGGAGGTGGATATATACAATATATATATATAAACATACGTTCGGTATTGCCGATTGCAATTAAAAATAAAGAGAAACAACTAAATGTTATAGCAGCCTTATATGCAAAATTTCAACTTTCTACGGCTGATCGTTTTTCAGTCATCCGAGATGCATACATATGTACGTACACACGTCCTTAAAAATTGCTTTTGAATCAATTTTAAGTAAAATTTTACAATCCGTTTTGTTTTTTATTCCGTCCGCACGTACTGACGACACGCAAAAAGTTGCCAAAATGTATTTGGGAAAGGACAAAATGGATATTTTCTTTAAAATATGATAGCCGAAATTGTTCGCGATTACAATACTTTCTTTACTACGTATCATTAAGTTTTGTTAAATCCCGAAGAAGATGGCTTATTTTCACTCAAAGTATATAAATATTGTCCAGCTAAAATAAAACATAATTATGTCTCCAGAACTGATGGACAAGAATAGGCATAATATATAAAAAAGACCGTGTAAGCATTGCCGTTGAAGGAACATTAATGTCTTTAATCCAGCTCCCATGTAATCTAGAGTGCAAAAAAATTTCAGGGTGCTGACATTCGGCAATGTTTAAGAAATTTAAGATAGCTTCCTAATTTAATAAAAATAAAAATTAACTTCCTAATTTAATCAGTTTGCTATTGATTAAGAAACAAAGTGATTTGAAAGCACATGCCCGTTTTGATAATTTTATCGTTAACTGATGTAAATCAAAATACATTTAATTTATAATGCATCCAACTGACAACTTTTATGAATATTTACTTCTTTTTAAAATTAGCTAAAGATTTTCCCACTATGTGATGTGACGCCGTAGATATAGATAAGTTTTTAAAGTATTTATGATCTTCTGCACGTTTTAATTTTGAAAAAGTTTGCAAAGCTTTTTTTAATTAACAAATTATTGATATAAGCTTGAAATGTTTTAGAAGTAACTTCCCAGAGGGTACAGTGGTTAGGGTAGCCTGATTGCGATACCGAAAGGCCCGGTTTCGAATCCCGAAGAAGGCGTGGATGTAAAATTGTCATTTCTTTCATAATAGGTAACGGCTAAGACCTATCAGGTGTCTCCACAATAAAATGGCCACCACTTATGGCCTTAGGAGTGGCCAGTGTCATTATAGGCAAGTGCACACCATTGGAAAAATTGTTTTATAAGTTTAATAGTATTGTTTATTCTTTTACAGAATTATGAGAATCTCAGTTATTATATGCTTTATCAAAATAAAATGAGATAAATGTTAGAAACATTTGCAAAGAACTGGAAATTTAGTACAAAACTGTTTGCTACAGTTGCTGACAAACAGTCCTTGTGGAGCAGCTGTGCGAAGTACTTGTGTTAAAAATGCTTCGTAATCTGATTGCAAAGTTATTCTTCTTGCTATTCAACAGTGTCTTGGAGCACCATACATATCAGTTGCTGGTTAATGGCTGTGTTTTAGAAGACTTATACTATTTTTCGTGCTTTTAAGGTACTGTTGGTAAACCCCTGCCATAGTTCTGAATCACATGCCCAGCAGTTTGGCAGCTACTCATATCAAAATTCCCTTGTTGCAAGCACAGATGATTTTCGCGACCAGACGAGCTTAGATCACTGCTTTTAAGCATGATAACAATCGTTGGCATCGCTATCGAAGCTTTAATATCTATACATTGTGGCACTGATTACCAGAAGTGGTTCTCAAGTTACTGGTTCCACTGTGCTCTATTACATGGTTGCAGATGTATTAATAATTTGTCATTTTGCTGTATACTTTAATACTTAATATATTTTACATAAGACTCAGTACATTATTAATTAAACATAGAAGCTAAATGTATTATGCTACAATATATGAAGACATCAAAGTATAATAAGAGGCTATTTAAGAAAGATTGCGCTATGGTTGGTGGTGACTTTAGGTGTCATAAATCTTGCATATCATCATGCTTATTATGAGGTTTAATTATTTAATCGACTGGAGATTCTCAGATCTGCTTTAGTGCAGCTCTGAATATGTCTGAGCTCATATGCCTTCTTGCAAATATTGTTTTCCCATATGTAATCATTTTGCAATTGACTGCGGATATGCTAAGCAATTGTTGCTGCTTTCAGAACTGCAGTGATCGGAATCTCCGACCCGCTCCACATAGGCCTCGTACACTGTTCTGTATGATAGATAGGATGGCATTAGCTAATGTACAGGCTATGTTCCACCCGGAGCTATGTGAACTCAGATGTACTATTGCTTAATATACTTCTCTTATTGGTTTTAATTTTACGCTCTCATGCCAGTGTCATCGCTACCCCAGGAACTCTGCATTGCTCCATAAATATGTCCCTACCTGTCAGTTTTCGGATATGATCTATGTAATATTCCTGTAAATTCGTCTGGAGCATTCAATTTTGCAATGAAGTGTTCAAATTGAAAGCATTTAAATTTTCTCTTTTAACTTACATGTAAGGAAATTGAGATTCATGTCTCTTTAATGAAAGATTTCTGTCTCTCTTTATATAATAAAACAGTAGAAATATTCAACTTTAATGTAACGAATAATTCCTAACTTGCTTTAGTTTGACTCAAATACATTACTCATCACTTAACCGGACATCGGAACCCGATTTGAGAATCGGATAGAACTAGGGTCTGTATTGTGGTAACCCTTTACCAGTCCTTGCCTACAGCTTTGGTTTTGACTGTATATGTTAACTTGATATATTTTAAGAACTAGGCTTTACTACAAGCTATCGCTAGTCAAAGAAAATGCGAGATCAAGGAAAATGTCTGATTTTTATAGATAAGCATAAAACAAGGTTCAAAGTTTATAATTATATTCCGCTTTTATGCTACTCTTTAAAACCTAGAATTGAAAAATTTATACATACGGATTTAAATACTTTTAATTACTATAGAAGGAGTTGGAAGCTTCATTAAATGTACAGGTATGAAGAATTATGCTCAATCCACCTCTGCGAAAATCAGGCCTTGATGTTTGCTGTTTTTTAAATATGATGCTTGATGAAGTAAATTTATTAAATGACAAAATTCTTGTTTGTAGGTACTTAATCTATTGCGCAGAATACGAAAGAAACACGACAGCCCCAATGGTTTATGAATGGAGAAAGGCTAAGTTCTATGATAAATTTCCAATCGCGACGTATGGATAAAGTATATCGTTTTGTACTGAAACCACCCGGCAACTGTGTAAGAAACATCTCAATTTTTCCAGCTTTGTATATTCAAAATGGATTTGTATCTTAATAAATGTGATGCACAAAAGTACCTTATTAGTGTTCTATTAAAATATAATTATTTAGATTATTTGAAAGGCGTATTCATTTTTTTAAAATTCAGCTCTGTTTACGGCTTTAACTAAAAACTTTGTTCAGAAATCAAAAGGGAGAAATTCCTTTTTTTTTTCAGCATATATTAGAAAGTCTTCATTAAGGTTGCCAGAGAAAGCGAATGTACGCAGTAGAGAAGGCGAAAATTCTTTATTGAGTCATTAATTCACGAATGACTGAATTTTTACACAATGATTGTTCAGAAAATACACATGCTACAGAAGATATTTTCAAAATTTTAGAGCGAGTTCAAGGCGGTTTTAAGTAACGTTTAAAATGTAAAAAGTATTTTTTTTTAATTTTAAATTTTACAGCCTTTATTCTGGACCATAAGTATGCACGGCGATTTTCATGATAGAACGGCTTCTCTTAGAATTTTCAGGGGTAATTGATTTCCATTCCTCTTCAACTACTTTTCAGAGTATATAAACCATGGAGGATTTGCGCTTAAAATGAATTTTTTAGAAAGACCAAAGTAACAATAGTCCATCATATGACTTCGCAGGAATACATTGAAAAGATATATATACAATACCTGTACCAGCCTTCATTTTTTTCAAGAAATGCAGTGGTACTTTTCCAAGTACGACTTGTTGCTTTGTTTGATGAAGTTTTACTTTGTGAAAGTCACTGAGATAAAGAAATAGAATTTCATCTGTAAACATCTGACGTTAGATTTCTGTTCATAGTATGTTGAATTAATTTTATCATTTCTTTCCACTGTTTTTATTAACAATTTCACATTGCAAGAGTATCTCGCGTCTATCCCCACCCCCTACTGAAACTTTCTGTGCATTGACGAACCAGGGGTTTGTGCACATTTTTATTCTTCGTTTCCTATGATAAATAGGCCTTTTCCTGTTGCAGCCATTTAGGTAAACCAGTGTTTTATCAAGGGCGTCAATGCAATTCCATTTATCTCCCGCTAAATAGTTGTTATTCAGGATTTTGAAAATTGTTCTGCATTGAACCACTTGCTTCGGCAAAAGCTGGTGAACATTAAATTATTTTTAACTTAAGTTATAAATATTGGTTTATTATTTTAGTTAATGTTGCTATATTTGTATTTAAAACACTGCAATTGATTTCAGCGTCGAAGGATTTTCTCCTGTCAACAGACGATTTAACTTTAGAAACATTAGAAAAGGTGCTTTCTTTGATTGTTCTTTTGCAGTCTTCTTTCTATGTAGACGAAATGATTGACAGGATTTTCCTTTCCTATTAATAGTGTTGTTTAGTTTGCACTTCAAAATATTAATACTATGCTTTTGCTAGCGTTTCTTAATTGCAGAACAGGAACATATCTCTTCAGAAAGCGCAAAAACATATCGTGTTTACACGCGAAATTTTGACCGAAGAAGAAATTTAAAAGTAGGAAACGATATTTCTCATTTTAAATACTGAGCTGTTGCCAGCAATACATATTCCAAACCGTTTGCATTTTCTCAAATCTTTATCGAAATCATCTTAAAAATATATAACCAGCCTCTGTGCAAGTAGAAAAATTATATCAAAATAACAAATAATTTTTCTGGCATATCTCTACTACAACGTAAAATTCATTTAAAAAATAATAATAACTTTAACTATTAAAAAGTTACACTTATTAGTTAATATTAGTACAATTTTTATGCTTAGTTAACATTTTAAAAAAGAAGATAAATGTAACAGAAAGTTGAAAAAAAAAGAAAAACTAACTCTCCTAAAATATTGTTGCGAGCGTACTGGTTCGTAATGGATTGAATGCACAAGTCCGGTAATAGGTTAATAACATTTATTTTTATGAAAAGAAATATTTCAGAACTCTGGAATTTTGCATAAAAATGTCAGTAAAAGTGTTTACAGTATAATCAGTAGTTACAATTCAAATTACTGAGAACTTTAAACGCAACGCAATGCAAAGCTCATCTAAAGAGAACACTAACTCAGATCTATCTCTTAACGCGGAACCACAACTCGCAACAACAATAACTAAGCAATTTAGAGCAGGTTTCTGAACACAGGACAGAAACACTAACATTAATGTAATTCGTTATCAAAGTAAGCCATTTGGTGTCGTGCTACACTCTCGGTTAGAGGATCAGCTACCAAACTTAATTAAATCAAAAGCTCTAACAACACAGAACTGGAAGTGAGATTTTCATATAAAACACGGCCAAATATTTGGATTGACGTCTTTTTTCTTTTCTCATTTTGAAGGAAAAATGTAACACTACAGAACTTTGAAGTTTGTAATTTGCTACCCATTTACATAATATAAGAAGAACATACTTTAGGTTTGAATAAGCATAGTCGCTCTCTATATAATAATTTATAATTTTGTTAGGTTTTCATAGTTAAAACGGAACACGGTTTATTTAATGCTTCTGTACCACAATTTATGACAGTGTCCCCCCTCAACACTGTTCATTTCGCGATAGTTTTACCCACCACATTTTCCACGGAGACCAAATAAATCATGTCATGCCACGAAATACTCGATAATTATCCTTAGATGAAAAATATGATGTGACTTCCTTATACGCCTTATTAAATCCTACACACTTTTTGCTGCACTTCATTTAATATTATTACCTCAAATTATTCTGATGTAATTAACTGGTTCCTCAAGGCAAGTTGAAAATGAAATTAAATATTCGAAAGTTTGAAATTAAATACCCCAGCAAATTTTTGTTGGACGGGAGTCAGACTTCGACTAATTTTATTTTTTGCATACCAAATAAGTATAAGATTAATATATAGCATTGTTCTAATATAGGTATTTTGACAAAAAATCGGGCTTTTTCTGAAATGGCATGCCAATTGTTTTCCATATTTCGATTCTACGACTCAAATTATGCAAAACTGCCAAGTTTTGAAAAAGTCGCACGAGTAGTTTTAAAAAAAAATAGCTCTCAAAATTTTAGCTTCTCAATGTTAATTCAGTTTGGTATGTACGCTGCTGGCCACCCAAATTGCAACACCAAGAAAGACAAGAGGTATCACTACAAAATTTATTTAATTACCCTGTTGAAATATGGCTGTGGGCAAGCCTTGAAGATAAGGAAGAACAACTGGATCCAACACCTCGGAGATGTAGCGCTGGCTATTTAAAGTACCGGCAATACGTATTATAGTACGAGAGTGATATCCAATACCGCCCCAAATCATAATACACGGTGCAGGACCAGTGTGGCGCTGCACAACGCAGCTGTTCAGCATCCTCTCTCCACGGTGTCTCCAGACTCGAATCCGACTATGGTAGTGTCGCAGGCAGAAGCGTGACTCGTCAGTAAAGACAATTCCATTCCATTCTACCTTTCCCATCTTTCTTTCATCGCACCATCGGCGGCGCAGATGTCTGTGGTTCTGCTACAAGGGTAGACGAAGCAATGGACGTCTTGCGGACAGACCACTCTGCTGTAACCGGCGTCGAATGATATGCGCAGACACTGGGTGATGCGTTACAGACTGAATGTGCTGTGCTATGGTTCGTGATGTGACTGAGGGATCCATGGGCACAATGTTCCTGTCATCACCTGAAGTGGTGCACTGAGGTGGATGCGATCGAACACGTCGGTCCGCCGTACCCTCCTGCATCCAACGGTCATATATCCGCATTACAGTTGTTTGGTTTCGTCCAACACGGTTACCAATTTCCCTGAAAGATAATTCACACTCTCGGTAGGCCACTATCCTTAGTCTGTTGAACTCAGATACTTGATCAAACTATGGGAAATCGTCGAAAACTCCAAGCCTTAAATAGCGCTTTGAAGTGGCGCCACAGGCGCGTGTGATGTGCGTCTGCGTTGAAATTCTAATCATTTGCATATCTCAGGGTCTTGCATTTACGGTGCCCAGCAGTGTATTTGTTAATATCTCTTATTTTATTACACTAACTTGATTCCTTTTTTAACAGTTCGAAATTTAGGTTCATTCACGCATTTTTTGTATGAATTGTTTTTAAATTTTTTATTTTAAAATAATTTTTATAAATTTTTGGAAAACATTTTGAATTATAACCTATAAAATTTTTACCATTATCTTAAAGTAAATGTATTTCTAAACATACCTGCTAAAAATTAGAGCATTTTATTAAAACATTTTCGAATATATACTTGAATATATACGTATATACGTGAATTTATATATTGGCCCGATTTGAAATTTCGCTGTAAGCGATAATAACATCTAATGCTGTTAAAACTATTTGAAAGTAGGAACGATGTGACTTTTTTCCACTCATGCACAATGTAAAAAGGTAGGAACGATGTCACTTTTTTTTTCCGCTCCTGCGCAATGAAAAGGAAAGGAAAATAAGTTGGCATGTATTAGGAAGTTCGCCAAGTGAATTATTCTTGGTGCAATTCCTGAATTTCTCCGTACATTTCGCATCAAATTTTACAAAATTGAATACTTAGGCATAATCTGAGTCGTAGAATCGAAATATGAAAAAACACTGATATGTGATTTCAGAAAAAGACACATTTTGTGTCAAACTTCCTGTGCTAGAAAAAAGTTGTATATAAATCTAATATACATCCTAAGTCGCGCTTTCGAAACATGAAAAACGCAATTTGAATTTCGTCAATCGGCTCAGTAGAACGGAAGATACAGACCTGTCTCTTTTTTTTCGCAGCGTACCTTCAAATAGCAATATCTGAAACTTCATTTTGGTTGGTGGAGCGGACAGGCCCTAGGGTTTCATATTAGAGAGGAATTTTTTTATAACCACCTTCTTTACTTCAACATGTAAATAACGTAGACTTATCAGAGTACTTCGATAATACTCGGAGCCGGAAAGAATAAATATCATATGACGTGTAAATAAAAAATCTGCATCATTTCTTTGTTGCATTAGGTAAAATTACATATGTGTCAGCGAGCCACTCTCTGAAAGTCAATCACTAATGATAAATTCGTTGAAACTGTAAGCAGGTGACGGATATATGACGATCTCCTCATCTTTTAGTAAACAATGTCTGCTTGATTTTCAGTTTCGGTACTCAGATGTCACATTTCCTAATGGTATTTTGCTGTTTGTTTTTTCCCCTGCACTATTTGAATTTTCCCAGTGTAAAAACGTTTTACACAAAACGTTATGTAAATACACATGATTTCATATTATCTCGGTATAAACTCTGAGTAGTAATTAATAGGTAAATAATTACCCCCCAAACACACATACTAGCTTAAATATTCTAGATATGAAACACCAAAATTCCTAAATGTAAGAAAGCATATATATATTTTCATTTTGTCACAGTATTTGTGAATAAGTTGCTCAATTAAATATCTTTTCAAGACAGAAAGTGTCAATTAAACTTATCTGTATTATTATGTTTAATTCTTTCAACTTACTATAGACTTTTATTCATAGTAGCTAGAAAATCTTCAAAACCTACTCGAAAAAACATGTTTTTCATACATTCGTGTGCACAATTAAGAGCATTTGAACATTATGTTTTTTTGCGGAAAATTTGAAACAAAAATACTAACTATTCCGTGTAGAATTATGCAAATATTCAGAGTCGAATGAGTAAGCGAAAACGTGCTTGTCTGCAGAGGGAATGTATGCGCACTACAGATTTTCGACGATTATGTGTGCTCGTTCTCCTTAACGACATTTGCCATGTTTCTCGGGAGATTTGAGTTAATTTTATAAGGTACCAAGTAAAATGAGTAGCCACGAACGTATGGATGATGGAATGAGGTAGAGAATTTTCGGCAGATTAGAGGCAGGGCAATCATGAGCTTAGGTGGCTACAGAGCTAAATGTAACACCGACTGTCGTCTTAAATTTGTGAAAACAGTTTCAGGTTACTGGATGCATAGACGTGAACGAGTTCGAACGAGATCCACAACAAGGAATGAAGATAATTATTTGGCACATTCAGCGCGGCGACACAGGATTGCTACAGCTTCACAGCACTCATATGAGTTGTATGCTGCCACTGGAACCCGAGTTTCACAGTCTACTGTTGTCCGAAGGCTTTATGAAATAGGACTGTATTCTAGAAGACCTGGTGTTTGCGTCCCGCTCACTGCACAACATGAAAGCGCGTTTAGCATGGTGCAGACAACCTATACGCCTTGTACTAAACTTCAGTTTAGCACCGTGCGTTTTTTAGATGAATCGAGATTCAGCCTGGACAGTGATTCTCTACATACCCGTACTTGGAGAGAACCCACAGTGCCATCCCTCCCTCATCAGGGTAAAGGATCTTTACGGTATTGGAGATGAAATGGTTTGGACAGGAGTTATGTTGGTCGGCAGTACATCCTTATATATGTTTGACAAAGGTTCTCTGATTGCTATAACGTACAGAGAACACTTATTAGAGCCCTATGTTCAACATGTTAAGAGTGCAGTTGGTTCTGCGTTCTAGACAATCGAAGACAACGCTCGTCAACTTAGGGTTCAGCTGGTCGACGATTACAAGAAAAGTATAGATATTCGCCGCAAGGATTAGCCAACCAGATCTCCTGACTTTAATGCTATAGGGCATGTTTGGGACGTTCTTGCGACGGGATTTTTATCTCGATATTTCCTTTCGAGGATCATGATTGATTTGAAAACTACCTTGCCGCTGGAGTGGTATCGGCTTTCACAGTCAACTGTCAACTGTCTTCCGACCAGTAGACCAGTAGACCAGTATGCCATCACACTTCGTTTCTTGCATGGTTGTGAAAGAGGACTATACCCATATTAGACTCCTTTTCAAATGGATATCACAACCTTGACATCAAGCACTGTAAATTTTACGCACGTAATCATGCGTATATTAAAGGGCCTTTGAATAATACATCTTTTTCACTGTTGTAAATGTACATTCGTCCAAAATTTCATTAAATTTTGTCAATTAATTTTCCAAAAATTTGACAAAATATGCAAATTTTCTTAATTTTGCACACGAGTGTATTAGTGAAAAATACTGATAGTTTGATTCCGATAACTTCTCTCTTTGGTAGTTAACAAAAGACGACACAATGATAAGCTATATATCTTTTGGTAATCAAATTCATGCAGCTCACTCAGATTAAACCAATTGCTTACTGTAGCTAAACTACTATAAATTTCTCGTACGTCTTCGGAATTTACACTTACAAACTGCAAATGCTTATGAGGAACGACTGTCAAACAATGAACTCTCAGTACTAATGATACAAAAACATAAATCCCTTCATATAGAAATAAATACACAATACTGAAAATTATTACTTCGAATATTCTAGATATAGATAATTAATAAAATGAGAAAATTAACAATATTTGACTACAAAGCGATTTTTCAGATTTTCAAAATATAATTTAGAAAATTTGGAAAGCTGATACATTCACGTGCTATCCATTTGCAAAAAAGTACTGATGCCTTTTTGAAAATTGGCCATCATTTTCCAAGACACAAAGGTCCCCCCGACATAATGACACAAAGGCACACGTAACCTTTAAGAAGTTCAGCTTATATCCTTAATATAATGCGACAACAATACAATGGCGATAAAATTTTAACTCTTACAAACATTTTTAATTTTTTTTTGCATGTCATATGCAGGGGCTATTTGCCATCATTTTAGCTAAAGTGACATTTGTTCTACAAGTCAAATAGATGACAGCTATTGAAATCCAAGATAAAAACTTATGAGATCATTATGTCAATAAAGTGAGCAAAGAAACAGATGGGATTGAAATACAATGGGTGAAGGTGGCGAAAAGTCAGAAATAAATACTGTATGAATAAAACTACGGTACCCAAAATAAAGCTACTTTTAAAAATTTTCCGCTGTTGCATTGTGTAAAGTGGAATCTTCTGCCTGAAGCGGAGCAGCTTGAAAATTTCTTGTTGAATGCATACATACGCAAGTATAATTTTCTAATGTATTTTGTTTATATTTTCCTGTAAACACAATCATAAATACTAAGACAAACGGAATATTAATTATTTAAATTCAAAAATTATTTTATTAGATCATATTCTAGATTGACAATCGAAGTAAATGCGGATCAAACAAAAGAAATACAAATATTTATAAATACGTCGGTTCACATCTACTGAACGGTACATTGCGCATTAGATGATATCAGTATGATTTAATTTGTCATAAGGACTATTTTGAAACACCAGTGCTAATAAATTAATATTTTCATTATTCTAAAATTATTTTAGTTCAATTTCAAGAAGATGTGACAAAAGCAATATGATAAAATTTAAATTGAATGCTAAAACTACTTGGAAACGAATTGAATGTCATGAATTATTTTTATATTCTTCGCTGAAACTCGTTATCAATAAAGAAAAAGTTTTAATTTCAAGGCAAAGTGTAAGCAAATTAACATACGTATTTCTATCTTTCACGTTATATCCGCTAAAGATTTGTCTTTCAACAAAATATTTAGGTTTCGAGAAATCACCTGTATTCGGTTAGAAGGGCTACTTCTTTCACTTTACTATAGGTCGTCTAACGTACTGTATTTCGAGATTATATTAACTGGGCACAAACAAAGTTACAAATTAATTAATGTAGCTCAATGCTAAAGATTTGAGAACTTAATATGGGATTCCATGTGATTTTTACTGACGATTCTTGTATATCATATTTTCGTGACGAAAATCATAACACCTGATTAAAATTTTTATTTGCATTAAAATCCCTTTGTGAATATCTGAAATATATTACAAGACTAAGAGGACTCTTAGTTGTAATATAGCATAACATGCGTAATTTTTATACAATTTATTTAAACATGCAATAATGTCAATTTTAAATTACATTATTCTTCGTGCAATTTCACTTTTATTTAGTATTGCAAAGGCATTTTTACAAATGAATAGGGATGTAGTTTTAAATTTGAAATTTTGAATAATGTAAACGATTTCTTTAAATAAAACTCTGTAACGCTAATTTACAGATATTTTAATGTGTTTTGATACTTTTGAAAATTTTACAAATGAACAAATTTCGAATTTATAAATGAAATAAATGTGTGAAATTAGCTGATTAAGAGAGTCGCGTAGCATCAATCATAAACAAACCATAATATAAACCAACATCATTATTTTATATATTTAGCATAAGGATGTGTTAATTTTAATAAGAAAATTTATATATATTCAAAATGCATAACAATATAATTTTAAATGTAGGCTTTTGATATTGAGGTTTGATAAAAAATAACATGATCGTTTCTGTTATTTCAAATTTGAGTGCATTATAAATTTCGAAGAAGATTTAATTTCTGTAGTTCATTCTAATTACAGCTGCAAGTGAATTTTTGATTTTGTATAGTTGATGCTTAATAATCTGAAGATATCTGAAATCTAATACGAATCTAAGAGAAAGTTAATTTAACTCTCCGATTAAATAACACAGATTGCAAAACATATCCATTACACAGTAAATTTTCTGTATGATCACCGCCCACGATATGATATAGTTTTGATCTATATGAATGTGGATGTCTTTGTTTATTTGATTATGGCAAAGTATACGACGTTTATCTACCTAAGGGCAAGAGATGCAATTGTGTAGGACATTCTAAGGGAAAATTTCTCATATTCATATTACACGTGACGAAAACTATGAAAATGCACAAGCAGCCTGATATCTAACCAAAATTAGAACAGTAATCTATTTATTGACGTTCAGGTTTATTATCCGCTTGGCGACGCCACAGTGGGACCCAATTTCGTCTGGTTAAATTTATTCGTCTGGTTTTTCTTACGTTTCTAGAAATGCTGGTTACATTCAGAAGTAGTCGCCAAGACAGAGTTCAATATATACATATATTGGGTACTATTCGGTTTCGAGGGCCGTAAAAAATTACCAAACTATTGTTGATGCCAGTGCTGCCAAAAATAATTGCGGCAACCCTAACGCGAGAAAAGGAAGTATAATAGTAAATAACTATCTAAAGATTGATGTTTTAATTTAGATGAAAGGTTAGTTTCATATAATAAATTTTATTATTATAATTTATATAAAAAAGGCTAAACATGACTGAATGGAGGCATAAGAGTAAATAATTATTTCAGATCATTATTATAATTTATATAAAAGTTGCTAAACATAACTGAATGGATGCCTGCATCCTATTTCGCTACCGAGCTATTGCTAAAGCATACTTTCATCTCATTGGTTGTTAAAACATAATTTTCTACAATGAATGATACTTTTTCTTTGAAAACATTCTCTGTAAAAAGCAGAATCGCCCACTTATTTGTTTGCCGCTTTTTCAAAGGGTAAAAAAAATTGGATTTTTGTCAATTTTCTTTTACTTTTTAAGTGAAAATAGATCAAAGTATACATAGAGAAGGTCAAGGGTGTGCGCAGTACCGTTTTTGTGCAATTCTGGGATTTTTGTTTTGAAGTGAAAATAGGTCGATGTGTACATAGATACCGAGTATGTGCAATTCTTAAAAACGCGTCAAGCAGTGGGTGATTCTGCACTTTACCCAAAATTCTATTGTACACTTTTCGTCATGCGCAATTCCCAAATTGTTAAATCCATAGGATATCGAAAAAGAATTTAAAATAAAAAAAAAGAATTAAAATTTCAATTAGTATTTCAATGGCGTCTTAAGAAATATAGAACTATATAATCTTACGCCATCTGAAATCAGCGCGTACGCTAGATTTGGCGCGCTGTTAAATGAGGCGCGTTTGCTAGATTTGGCGCTTTTGTGCATACATTTTCGCTTCAATTTTTTTATGCCCTCAAAACGGAATTGTACCATATATTGTAACGAGCATGCGATTTGGTAATAGATTTGTAGAGACATTAGGATTTTTGTGGAAGCAGGCAAGATGAAAAATTAGCAATCGCCTTCTCTTTAAATCGAACCACGGACCTCTGAATACCGGCTCAGCGTGCAGAACGAATACACCACGAAGGCACGCTAGGAAAGCAGGAGACATACCCTATAGATTGAATGCACAGAGGTCCTATGATAGCTTAAATTTATTTTTATCAAAAGAAGCACTAAAATTTCTGGAATTTCCCGTAGAAATTCTCGTACAGGTTTTCGAGTATCACAGAGTACAACCAATAGTTACACTTCAAACTACTAAGAACGTTAAACACAAGTAAATGTAAACACAATGTAAAGCGTTAACAGAAAGTTAACCGCGAGATATCTCAGTTCCCGCTGAACTAACAACTTTCAAAACAATAACTGAAATCACATGCTCTCTCCAGCCTTATACGGCTTTCAACTGCCATTGAGATATTTATGGCATTTCCTGCCTCTCGAAATTACTGGAAAGCAATATACGGTTGCAGCTAATACAGTGATCAATTACATTTATTTAATTACAATACCTATTGCGGTGATACAGGAACCGTGATTGGCGACTTTTAATGACTTTTGGCGCAATATTTCGCGACAAAATAAGTCGGCAAAACTGTTGCCAACTTGGCGATCTGTAGCCAAATTACCCCCATTTACTCAATGTTAAATGAACCTGCCCCTGTATTCTTACTTCCCAGCTTAGCATATCTCTCTAGATTATTTATTTACGTTACATTACGTAGAAAAACACAACTCACCTATAATTCCCCTAAAAGCACCTATCTATGTACATAATAAGCAACAGTATGGTCTTGAGTAGATGCAGAATGTTTTAATTAAAACCAACAAGTTATTAGGAAGCATACATCAGCGAGCAGTATTTCAAAACCCAATCGCATCTATTTTGAGAAGTATGATAATAACATTTTGCATTTTGTGAACTAAAATTTCGTCCCCATACCACGTTTCCAAAAAGAAATAATTTAAATATATGTCCAAAAATTGAATTGAGGCTCTACCTTACAAGGTATTTCTCCCGCCTTCTTAGCGTGCCTTCGTGGTGTAGTGGTTCTGCACGCTGGGCGGTATTCTAGAGTTCGATTCCCGGCGAAGGCGATTGCTTATTTTCCCTCTTGCCTGCTTCCAAAATACCTAATGTCTCTACACTCTTTCTGTAACTTAGCTTTCGTTTAATTACAAATTCTTTTCTTTTAATAGCTAATCAACCAGCCATGCGATTTTACATTGGATTTATATTTTGCTTAATGGCAGTATTAACATATGCTCAGGATTCTCAGACCAAGACGTATTTTCTCCAACACCCCTTTGAGGAGCATGGCAAAGGAATTCTCGTGGTAGCCACATGGTCTGTACCGAAACTAATACATTGCGAAATGCACTCAGATAAGTAAGCATTTCATTGCTAAAATTGAAAGTAAAATTAAAAAATGACATGTCATAATTACGATTTGAATATGTAATTTTTTACGGTTGTGTCAATGTATGAAATTAATGACATGTTTTTGTCATCATTCACCAAAACTTTCTTACATTTCTTTTTCAATTCGAGTATGATGGCATTATCATGAATTCATGCAAGATTCATTAACCAAAACCTAGTCTGAAACCTTAATTTCGATACATCTTTTTTGATGGTTTATTAACTTATCCATTAACAGGTAAAATACGTTCATTATGAATTTGTTAAAATTTTTCCCGTTATGATACTTAACAGCTTTACGCTATCCATCTCTATTATAATGAATATAGCTTTATAATAGCAGAGATGCAGATTTAATATCCATAGAAAATATTGTTTAAATTTCAATGGAATTTTATTTTCCTACTTGAGGAGAAATTATCCTATGCTTTGAAATACAGAAAAAGAATAATAAGTTTGGATACGGTTCAACATCAGTTATGCATTGGTAGTGACATCAGATTTGTAACAGTATGCTTGACAATGCCGTACTATCTTCGAATTAGGCCTAAAATACCAGACTTTGCCAAAACATTTTGACTAATGGTAGAGGCAGTAATCTCTCATACATGTGTCAGTCAGTCGTTCAGTCATTCAGTCGTTCAAACACGTTGGGCAGAAATAGAATTCATGTTGAGATATCCCTCGCGTTTGAAAATAATATATTATTTTGCAGCAAATACCTATTAGATTACCATTGGAATGCTGTCGATTTAAATTACCAGAAATAAGTTATAATTTTATTATAAATGTGTATATTTATCAGATGTAATGTCACTATTAGTGAGTAAGAGGTATTAGTATTAGTTAATCATATTCCTCTTTCGAAAGTAGAAACTAAAGAGTAAAATCTGAAATTTTTCAGATTTTTTCTTATCACTTTTACCGCATTTAATCAATTTTAAATTCGTAGTTTATCTAAAAATATTACTTAACGCATTTTTGGCTTTGTTACTGCGCATGAGTGTATATCGGGTTTTAACGAAAGCTTCCCGCAGCCACAAATATCATCTGCTCAAACAGTTCGCGTAGGCGTGATTAATCATATTTTGTCAAACGAGTTTTGGCATTTGAAAGAACACATTTGAAAGAACACAACCTTTTTGTGAAATTATTAAAAAAATATCGTTATCATTAGGTACAATGTGTTTGAAATGGAACTATCACACTACCAGATTATAACCGCCATTTATTTCCAGATCTATTGCAAAACGTCAGCTACAGAATGTCACCAAATCATGTGTACAGCTTTAGGTTCTAATTTTATATCATAAGATACTGTGAAATTTTGGTATCAAAAGCTCAAACACAAGGACTATGACATTCAAGAAGCAGACCGCTCTGGTCGGCCTACTAATGTTGATGAGGCTCGTCTGCAAGAATGTGTGGGAAAAGATCAGTACTCAACCATTCGAGTTCTTGCTGAGGACTTAGACGTTAGTGAAATGTCCATTAGTCGCGCTATGCATTGCATAAACTTCACGTACAAGTTCAATCGTTGAGTGCCGCATAAGATGACATAAGCAGATAGAGACAAACGTGTCCAGGCCTTCACTAAATTTCTCGAATATCAGCATAAGGACAAAAGTCTGGACGAAAAAACGGTAATGTTCCATCATGATGAATCAAGACCACACTTGTCTGCATTCACTGGCTGGACTCTGTACGAAGTCGAATGGGAGCTTTTGCCACGCCAACCATATGACCCCGACATCGCTCCTTTTGACTTCTACATTTTTTCACACTTGCAAACTACATTTTGCTAATGCTATTTTCTATTCTGCACAGGACGTCAGAAATGAGATTGATCTCTTTTTAGACTCGCAACCACCAAGTTTGTGAGCCGAAGCTTTGAAAAACTACCAAGAAATTCGCAGAAAATCATAGATTTGAGTGGCGATTTCTACTCGCAATAAGGGTACTTGCCTTCATGTTTTATTGTTTCCTAACTTAATGTTTTTTGTCGGAAAACTTTCGTTACAACTAGATATACTTTGGTATTTCAAAACTTTGTATTCTTGTGTTACTCATTTTAAGAAATTTTCTATTTGTTATTTGTTATTTTAAATTATATTTTGTTTTGTGGATCAAATTTTCATTTAAGTCTTACATTTTTGCATATGTTGGATTACCTTTTTCCCATTTTTTTTGTTGAAATGCCAAATAGAAATTTTTAATAGGTTTTTGAATTTTTTGCTTGTTTATGAATTTTGGTATTATTTTTACCCGACCTATACGTTTTTAAGATTTGCATACAGTTTTTTTTTTTTTTTTTTTTTTCAATTTTGAATTAAAACATTTGCACATGGATTTGCTTTTTCAGATGTTGGATTATTATTTTTGTAAGTTTTGTTTTTGGCCTCGATCTACTCAAAATATGTTTTTAAAATTGTCTACGATCTTGCAATCTTTTTTAATTGGTCTGTGTTTTTGATGGTACAAATGTTACACTGCTTACTTCTGGCAATAGGGGCGAACCGATAAAGACACAGATTCCTTTGGCGGTTTTCTGAAGTTATTGTTTTTCCAAGATTATTTTTAAATTTTAAACTTTAATCTGTGTCTTTGTCAGTTCAAAAACAGTCTATTTTATTTTCTTCTTTCGTTGCGCCAATTTCCTGATGAGCACGCAGTGAAAGGTTGCAAATATAATTTTTAATTTTTATTTTTGGAATATGTTTTGTTCTTTATTGCTTGAAGTTTGCCAATGTGCTTCTCTTTTCTAATATTTATGTGTGGTTTATTGAGAAATGAATATGAGAAGAATTTTAATTGTGATTTTTATTTTTATTTTATTTCATTTTGCATTATTAACGCGATTTGTCGCTGCTATCTCCGCACAAATGGATTAGAGTTTTAACTGTTTTTTTAATACATATTATTTCCTGTTCAAAACAGTTGTTTCTTAATTGAAGTAAAATTTACACAAGAACATGAATCCTCCTCCATTGAAATCATTTTGTTTGTCAAAGAACGTGAGAGTTAATAACTCTTGCGTTTATGAGATGCAATAACTGAAATCGCTTCACTTGCATCTAGAACCAAGAATGTGTAAATACCAAGAAATCTAAAATTTTGAATTTTTAACTAGGGAGAATATTCTACCTATTCTGAACCAAGCGGAGGAAATAATTGAACCAACCGTACAAGAACTGGTAGATGTCATAAATGACTGCAGACAATTTCTAGACCGCAACTTAAGTGAGGAAACAAGTCGCATCTTACTTACGGGAATTGAACATTTTAGTGAAAGCAGCAGAAAAATTCCTGTTTCAAATGACGCAAAAATGAGGATTTCTGAAGACACCTTAGCGAAATGGAAATCCGAACCGCACAATTCCGGTATAATTTTCCCAGGTAGGGATATACGCATTTATATTTTATTAGTTTAAAACATTTTGTTACCGTCATTGTCATAGCAAATAAAATATCAATAAATCCAACAAAATAAGATGATAAATACTGTATTATAAATTTTTAAATTAACCATTTAATTTTGTTCCTAAATATTTAAGCGTTATTTATCGAAAAGAGGAAATTAGATTTTAAAGATTAAAATTAAATTATTCATTTTTTAGCTTATCTCATTTATTAGGTAATGAGTTAGTAGTATAAAGTCTACTAACTCATTACCTAATAATGAGTACTGAAAGTACTATGTATTTGGCTTAAATAATATTTAATTTCGTTCATACGCTAATATCTTTTATATTCTGAAACAGTTCAGATATATCATACAACATAAATTTTGGCTCAGCTATTTTCAGAAAATTTCTTTGATGAGCAAGAAATATGCTCTTGTACCTATTAATCTATCGCAAATCTTGAACTCATATAGCGTTTAACGACTTCTGCAGATTATGTTACAGTTAGATTATTGTCAATTATTGAATTTCAACCAAACTAAATGATATACCATCCCAGCTGGACAGGGTCAAAGAGGGGACAAATCACTAATAATAATAATCTAGTAACATACAAATGATCCGAAAACTTAGAGCAGTACAATCACTGTTGGCGAACTCTCTTGTACAAAAATTACATTGCAAGATCAAATTGTATGCAGATACCTATTCCCATTAGGCATCCGTCCTAGTGTTTCTATAAACTCCATTATAAGTAATATATAAGTAAAATCAGCCAACTTGCTAAATCAATATGATACTACGGACGCACGTTGCCAAATCATGCGTATAAAAATGCGAATATAACATAATAACAAATAAATGCATTGAACAGATATAAATGCCAAACTTAAATGTGATATACAATAGAAACGAATTCGTTAAGAATGAATACTTCAGGAAAAGACTTGAATATATTATGTGCTATGTAATATGCTGCTTACTGCTCTATTGATACAATGTCATCTTATACAGAAAGAAACTACTTATTACTAAAAAAATCTGAAAGCTTTTAGACTTTATATTACGCTCAAAGGCGCATTTTTTAACGTTTTGTGTAAAATATGAAATAGATAATAAAACAAATTCCAAATTTGGGCTTCCAGATGCACATATTCGAGTGAAGGACTATGTTATTCAGAATTTGATATCTCTAGGTACAGTCGATTTTTCATAATTCGAGAAACATACATACATCCATGCAAATTCTTCATTAATTCATTTACAAGATACAATGCAGGGCTGTAATATTTGGTGGCAATAATTTAAAAGTGAAGCCCGTTTATAGTGAATCAACGCAAAATGACAAACCGTAATTAATAGCTCTTCATCTGGGCTAATAATGCTAATTTTTTTAAAAAGATTCCGTTTTCAGGGAACTAATTACACCTCACTTAACCGTAGGAAAAGAAACGTAAACATTATAATGCACTATGATAATATTTACTGATAGTTTTGGACTTATGCTAAAACTCTAAACCGCAAGAAGGGAAAAACATGTATGTGACATATAATAATAAATATATACAAATTGTTACTGAATCATGATATTAATAGTTACAGTAAGGTACATGATACCAATACGGTTATATATATAATCCAATATTTTGAAAGCTACAAAGGTTAACAAATATGCAATTATGCAAGTTATATAAAGAAGATAAATGAAGCCAATTCGCTTAATATGGGAGTAAAACCTAAATAGTAAAAGTAATACCCTGTGCTTATCTCACATCTGTATGTTGCTAATGTTCCTCCCGCATTTCTAATGCAATAACATGCTTGTCCAATAGGGATCGTGTAAATGCGAAATAAAGCTAATTATAAACCTTTGGAAGCAGTTCTTAGGAAACTAACTATTCCTAACTTACCAACCAGTATAAGGGAAAACATTTTAAGCACTTATAAGAATATTTGCTCTTGTTTCGAACAGTTAATGTGTAACTGTTCTTCTATAAACACAAACGTCGGCTAGCTCTAAAAGTATTTATTAACAGAGCACATAAACAGTTGCTAAGAATATGCACATCAGAACAGAACATGCACTAAAACTAACACTTAGAACTAAAATTTAAAATTAAATGTTAGAATTATGGAGATATAATAATGGATAACCTATCCTCATCGCAACTGGAAGTTTGACGGTAAGTCGTTTTCATTGCCACTAGATGGCGTTCGATAAAATAGGTTCTGTTACAAATGTTTATACGATAATGCAATACTGCTGTAAGCAAAAGAAGTATAGGAATACTTTCAAAAACACTTTAAAATAATAATAATAATAGTGATACTTAAATAAAAACAATAAATTAAAAGAAAGAAAACCTGAAAGGTTTCAGATTTTAAATTACGTCTAAAGGGGCGTTTGTTTTAACATTTTGTTTGTTACCTTTATTTATTAAATTTCACTTTCTTTGCACTTAAACCATGAAATTCAATTCAAAAGCAAAATCGCAAAATAGTTTTAAAATGAGCATATCTTCAGAATTTCCGATGCAGAGACTAGCGCCCTGGAGATAAAAAATGTGTTTTCTGTACAACGTTGCCATTGCTCGCTTTGAAATCCTTGAGTTCGTTAATAAAAAATTCGCTAAAGTTTTACAAAATAGGAAATCGATAATAAAAAAAATTCAAAATTTCAAATTTGGTCTTTCACATACCCATATTTGTAGGATGATTACGTTATTCAAAATTCGATGGCTCTATGTACCGTTAATGCGAGAAATAGACATACATTTATGCAGATTTTTTCCTAATTTAATTTCTTCAAACATAATGCAGGACTCTAGCATTTGGTGGCAACAGTTTGAAAAGTGGTTCGCCGTTTATAGTGAATCGACGCAAAATCGCAAAACGAAAACAACAGTCCTTCAGGGACAAAGCCCCTTTGGACTAAAAAAAGTAATAATAATAAAAGTACAAAATATTGTTAAAAATTCTCATAAAACTAATTCATAATTAATCATAAATATTATTGTATTACGTCTGATGCTGATGCTGACTATATAATTACACTAACGTATGTTACGTTATTATATACTAACAATTAAATAGTATACATATTTTACTAAATACTATTACCTACGTTTCAGTGATGAATTTTATGCACACATAGCAGTTTCTATATTTTAGAAAATCTTACATCATATAGTCTATTTATATAGTCCAGAGTTCTTATTCATACACATTCTGAGTGCTTGAAACAAACACTATTGTCTTACACTTGTTGATGTACGAGAACAAGCCTTACTATTGTATTATAAAATTACAAATACATCGGGGATTATTTTGCTTGATAACTGTAGGCTCTAAACGTTACCCTGATTACTTGCATAAAATTCTGATCAATTCAAATATTCAAATAAATTAATTTACAGTGATTTCTGATTACCAGTGTCTTGAGAGTTTCTCTATTTTATCAAAAACTGCTCTGTTTTAGTCTGTTGGACATCAGTGTTGGCCAAGAACAATCTGCTGGTTTCTTTGAGTGCCAGATTCTTCTTTCAACACAATGGAAGTCATAAAGGTCTCTGTCGCCTAACTGTCCGCACTCATAGAAGGAAGTATCCCTAAGTCTGAATCTTTTGAGGTATATTGGGAACAGCCCATGATTTCTCAAGTACTGTGGGAGGGCTAGTACGATGGGTCTTGATTTCCATGTTAACTTTTGACAATAAGTGAAATGTCTTTCGATTTACATCTGCCTTTGATCATCCTCTACTTTGCCGATTTTGTAGCAAGCATATGAAAGTTGCCCTTTTAATGTAAGACCAAAGAATTTTGGTAGAGTATTAAAGGAAATTTAGCAATTCCATGCCATTAGCTGAATACTTAGCCAGGACGTCCGCCACCTTATTGCTTTGGAAACCTGTGACAGGGAACCCATTTTAGAGTGAGTCTTTGTGAGACAGGCATAGTCAGCAGCTATTTTTCAGTTCGGTGGATACCTGCTGTTTTATCCTGCGATATTTGCTAGACTTCACGCTGAGTTGCTGCGTGTGGATAATTTCTGTTGCTGATATGTGTTAGTGTGCCTTACTGCAGCGCTGATAACTAGCAGCTCTGCTTGTTTTACCGAGTTATTTAATCCTAGTTTTCTCTTCCACTCAAATGTTACAGTACCATTTTCCTACAGAAGCTAAATTCGCGAAAAATGTTTAAAAAGAAATATATAATTATGTGTTCAAACAGACTTTTAAATACTGCATCAAATGTAAATAAATAAATAAAATTTAAATTCTGAAAGATTTATGATCAAAAAAGAGTTCCTTTAACGCTTGATGATGCCGTCAAGATGGCATCCATCCTAGATTAGCCATGAGGAATTGAATCTCATCCTAGTAGGAAAATTTATTGAAAAAAAAAGATTTAACTAAACAAAGAAAATAATAAAATCGATACATAAACGAGCATAAAAATGATCTGCATATATTTTGTAATGTTTCATAGCAATGATATTACAAATTTATCAATATCATTAATTTCATTTATCTACATCTGCAATACTGACACACATCATTAAGCATATTTTTAAGTAGAGCATGTATAATGCTTGTTATAAGTATTTACCTAGCATCAGGATATATATAATACAACACACGTGAAAAAATGAAGGGAAAAACTAAACACAAAAAGTACATAAAATTAGATAAACTGTGTTTGAAGATATATACATTTCTTAAACAACGCAGCTTTTAATGATAGTGAGAAATTTTTGCACATGCTGGAGCATTTTCAATCCCAAACTGTATCGCTTTGGGAGTGTATTAAACTTTAAGAGAGCCCAATGTCCAGAAGCTGTCAATTTAAGATGATCGCCTCGAGTAAAGGGACATTCAAATATTTAGTGACCGGAATTGCTAAAAGATGCCCTTGTCTTTCTATCCAGATTGACTCAGACAGGTTAGAAAAAGACTGTGATCTTTTATAAATTGAGTAAATGATGCTTCAGCAGACCAGACGATGTAGTGGTAAGGGGAACTGCGGTACCGAAGGGCCCAGGTTCGAATCCTGGAGACGACATAGATGTTTGTGAATGTATAACGTGTTGATACAGGCACTGCTAATACGATCGGCAATATGTATTTTAATTTACTTAGAAGAAAATGTTATAAGTTAGATTATCCAACCGGCAAATGTTTAAGATATAAGTCAGCATAATTTTAATTCCTTTAAACAAATGTGAAATAGTATATACATGTTTCTTATATTAAGATCTGTAGATGATCACTTGCTTTCAATTTAGTTTGCTAAAGCACTTAAAAACAGTCCAGAGAAATCAACAATATAGATTAAACTGATCGTAAGCTATCTATTTTGTTCTTTTATTTATGAAAAATTAAATAGTTTAAACATCTTGCTTAACACTTTCTTGAAGAAAAGTAACAATGTATTCGAAATATGAAATTGAATTTTCAAGACATATGTAACCCTAATTTAAAGATATATGGAACACATTTCTTATAGATTTACTTAATTAATTTTCAAACTCAGAAAAGTAATAATTATTTAAATAAACAAAAGTATTTGTCCAGAAAAAAAAATCTTTTTGAATAAAAGGAAATATCTGAGCGGTATTGATTGAAATCTTAACCGTCACTTAAAACAAAAATTTAATAAACATAAGTAGTTAACTATTTAACTATACAAAGTTGATGAAACATTAGACTCTATTTTATTATATTACATTTTTTCTCTAGCACACTGAATATGATGAAAGCGGCTAAGTTGCATCAAATGTTCAAGTTTTGAGGAGGCTGACAATTTACAAAGCTCGAATAAACATTCCTCAGAAAGTGAAAAAATAAAGGTTTTATATTGCCATTAAATGAAACCAACTGAATTTTAATTTATTTAGACTTATTTTTGTTAGCAGCAATTAATACATGCATAATAAAAATTGCATAGCAACGCAAATTGTTTCGCTGACGCAATTAATTTGAAATGTTATAAATAGTTTTCGCATAGTTTGACGGTATTTTTTTAACTCCCGTTTTCCGTATTCTAATTACTGCTGCTAAATAAAATGAAAAAACAGGAAATCAATGTACATAATTGCATGGTATCTGTGTACCATTAATTGATCTTAACACCTCCAAACCAAATCTTAAAATATCTGTCTTCAAAGTATCTAACGACACAAATGATCGCAATATACAACGTAATCTGACAACTAAGAGAAAAAGTAAAAATTTAATAATCCAAAATTATAGACATTACCTCGATCGGTTTCCACAAGAATGGAAAAAATGACATTTTTTAACAACGGAAGATTTTTTTGAAGCTACATACTCCCTCCATTTGGCATGGTGTAACGATAGCACAGTCGGCGCCTATTCGAGAAGTCCAGGTTCGAGTACCTGCGAAGGCATTGCTTATTTTTCACATCACCTTCTTCAAAATAATGTAATGACTCTAAAACTATAGTTACAATTTTCATTGACAAGTAGTAGTTCAATTGTGCAAGACATTCGTATAGCAGAGTTCGCAATGCAGCTATAATTATAAATATCTAATGTGACGCCCATGAGCTTGGGCGTCTTACACTGCATGGTCTTACACTGCATGAATGTTACACTATGGAGCATATATGCCTCTCTTGCAAAGACGAAATCATGCTGTCTCTTGAAAGCATAGATAACTTTTATTTGTGATAGTAGCAATTTCAAATATACCTCTGTGCACTTCCTCAGATAAAAATAATTCCTATAATGAATGGCGCAGTGAACTCCCACGATACTGTCACCTTCGGTTGATGCAACAGGTACTTTTACAATTACGTGTCCGTTTTTACTTGTTCATATGCAGCATCTATCTGTGTGCATTTACGTTTCAATCAAGCAAAAGGTTACCCTGCTTCGTCCACACGATGTTTAACAATCAGTCTGCGTTGCTTCCCATCTGTTGAAAAAAAAAATTCCCAAATCCATTACTTCCCTCGAAATCAGTTGGTCTCCACAAATCAGTTGGATCTTACAGAGTCCCGTACAAAATGCCATTTCTCTGCGATAGCTGTAGCACGAAGACATGTCAGCGAAGCATTCAGAGGTTATGGAATAAATATTTTCGCATGAAAATAAATCCCCTATCTCTTGTGCATTTATATTAAAAAGACGTCGTGCTACTAGCTATACCTTTTAAATTGTTATTTATTTTTTTGTTACTTTTGGATCACCCAGTATTTTCTCAGTTCTAAGAAGTTTAAAGAATTTTCTAGTCACTGACCAGTAGGAAAGGGTATGCATTACCAGAAGATGTTGCAGGATACTGCGCAATATTATCTTGAGTCCTCATGATGTAGCATCAAAAACATTGGGGAGAAATGCCACTGTTAAAAATCCTGTTTTGAAAATAATCAAATACACAGTTAACACTCATTGTCTAGTAAGGATGCACGATTTGATTTTCAGTAATAATAAAAGATATTACGCTTTTTTACAATTACTTAAAGTAACATACTTATGATGGAAATGCATCATTTGCAGAAATGCATCATTATAAATGCATATTGAAATGCATATTTTTATGAAGAGATAGACTCATTAGCAGGTAAAATGCTTATTAAAAGATTAATAAGAACCGACACGCCAAACAGTTGCAAAAATAAGGTTCAATTTCTCCTTAATTATTTTGCGTGCTTTCTGGAGGACATTTCTAGTTAGACACAATTTTTTCTAAGAAATTTTAAATGGGGACTTTTCTGCATGATCATTTTCAGATTTCCTTCATGACATTCACCAAGTGTTATGTGTCCTGCATGTTTATCAGAGTATCTTTCTTTACAAAGCATCATACATCTTCGTAATTTATTCCGATACACATTTGAAAGCAAAGCAGACTGGTCAAATGAGCTTATAAGGTATTTTCTCCTTCCTTTCCGCATGCTTTCGTGGTGTAACGATAGCCGCGTATTCGAAAGGCCCAAGTTCGAGTCCCGGCGAGAGCAATGCTCATTTTTCCTGTCCTCTGCGTCAAATAATATACAGTGGCCCACAAACTTAAAGGTGGTGGATAATGATTCTTTATCACCAAGATTTGGCGATAGAGTTCCCTAATCCCCAGTCTCCCTTTAAAAGGGGGGTGCATAAGGTATTTTCTTGCTCCTTTCTGCATGCCCTCGTGGTGTTACGGTTAGCATACTCGGCGCGTATTCAAGAGGTCCAGGTTCGAGTCCGACGAGGACATTGTTCATTTTTCACATCTCCATCTTCAAAGTAATGTGATGTCTCTATAAGCTTTTGAGGAGTACCTGCCCAGTTTTAAGTCCAACAGATCGTTTCTCTTATTTCTTTTGAGGAACATGTTCAGAATTCGATATGAACGACACATATTACAGTTAGATATGAACATTCCTGATACATGCAACTTGCAATTCATTGTAATAAAAGACATTTTTCTCCAGGATTATTTGGGTATTTCAAACCACAGGGAACTTTTAAACAATATTTTTAATATGCTTCTCTAATTTCGAATAATACATGAGATATATACATGGATATCCCGTTTCGTTTCATGGCACTTCGTTTTCGTCAGAGTACCCGCTGCATGCTTTCTGTCATTATTTTCAAGGCCAAAATTCCAATTCCTTGAGTCCTATGCTAAATGCCCTGAAAATGTTTTCATTTAACACCTGTATTATTTCTACATTAAATACTATTTCTATAGTAAATATTATTTCTACAGTAATTATTAGTATTTGTACAGTAAATATTCTTTCTACATTCGTCAGTCAAAAGAATTCTAAAATTTTCGAAGAACTGTATCTTTTCCAAATGTCACTCTTCTCAAAATCTGACATTAATTCTTAGTTAAATCCTGTACTTTGAAAAGCATATTAATTAAATTTTAAAACAATTCTTTACAGGTTTCTAAGCTCATAATGTGAAGAATACAAAAGAGATATGACAACTCCAATGGTTTTACAATGGGCAGAAGCTAAACGGTTCAAGAAAATACTGTTCTTTGGATAAGATTCTTCTTCCAGTTCTAATCATCTCGAATTTTTCACTCCTGGATTTTCCACGGGATCATCTGAAAAATATGTACAAATATTATTTGATATTAAAGTGTTATTAAATTTCATTATTTAACTCATGTGTTACTATTTTTAGTTTTAAATTTAGTTTCAATCGTTTCTTTAATCCAGTGCTTTACCTGAAAAAAAAAAATGAGTACATGGCAAATTTGTGTTAGCGTCAGTCTAAAATGCAATGGAATTTGAAGCTTGGTAAATTTAATAATGTGACCTCAGAGCACTATAAAATTTGCAAGTAGATAACGTATAGCTTCACTGATTTTATTAAGCCCATCTACATAAATAGTATTTCGACTACTGTGTACCCGAATTATTAAAATGATTAAATTTCGTCCAATGTAAATTTTTAATATTTTTTACGCTTAAACACAATGCATATTAAAAATATTTCATTTATTTTATCCTTTATAGCATTTGTTGTTATAAGATTACTTATTTTACCGCCAGAACTGCTATTGAGGTGCTATTAGTTTCAATTCTCACTTTCTGCCCATGTCACATACCAAATAAAAGGATTTTGCCACGAAATGTTATCGCCATATACAGCGTTTCACAAAGACCCTGTTGTTTCAATATGTTTCCTTCGTCACCCAGTAAAAATGCTTATAACTTGCTGATAAATTAAACAAATGTTAATGTTCAATTATTTGACTTTTATTGAAAAAGTAACAAAAATTGTAATCAATGAAAGTGTCTTAAAGGGAAGTGTGATATAGTTTCTGTTGACTAGAGCTTTGTCTACAGAAAAGATGACAACTTTATTCTTAAACCTGGTGTGACATATCTAATCGATTTCTGTGTATATGTTTCAGAAAACTAAGTCGAAGGTAGTTTCACATTCGGGCGTTGTAACAAAAGGCATTAGAAACTTAATTGCTTTTTGTGCCAAAAGTTGACACAGAATAGGCAAAAATCTATACCAATGATATTTTGTCCAAGTTATTCACCATTTCTTGTACTGTATCACAAGACAGCTCAATACTGAATTCAATATCTGAAACCCATATTTTCGTCTCTGATTCTATATTAACTGATAAAAGGTTTCTTATCTATGCTTTGTTGCTTTGAAATGGAGTAAAATATTTTTTCTGATTTGCCTGCAATCCTGTCAGGTACTCCTTGATAGGAAATGAAATACCATTGCAACTCCTACCTTTTCTTACACTTAATATAAAGTTACGTCGTTGTTTTGTACCGAAAGATTATATTTATTTAAAAAATTATATATGTCACAACGATAAGATGGTTTCATCAACCAATTAACATTACTAACAATTAACAACATCTTTAAATTGAATTATTACATCTTTAATTATTGATGATGTTGGTTTGAAGACGCTTCTCTCATTTTTCAAATATCTCTTCAGTGTATTTTCTTTGAATATCCATGGCACGTAGCAGTCTAAAAGAATGTTATGCTCGCGCCTTTCTCTTTACATTATGCACTGAAGAACCTTGAATTCAAAGGACATTGTTTTATAAAATTTATAAATTTTATACACTCTTGCTTAGCAGTTTGTAAAAGCAATGTCATTTCTTCATAACCAATACTTTTCTGCATATGTTGCAATGCAGCCATATATATTCTTGTGACATGGCCTTTGTTTTTGGAAAATCCCTACACGGAATCCTGCTTTGCGCGAAAACCCTTCCTTCTCAGCCCCATGCATTTTTTTTAGTCAATGTGATATTCTTGTTCTAAGATCAATTTAAGTTAAACATTTCGCCTGTTGTTAATCTTGTAGTTAATGGTTTACAAAACAGAACTTCTTCATTATATATGTGCACAAATTGATATCTCACAAAGTGTTAAATTTACATTGTTTGATACGTCTGTGCTTTCATCGCCTAGAAAAGAAAAAGAAATGGATTGTTTTAAGCGACTTACAACAATTTCTTCATTTCCACGATTCTACATTCGCTATATTATTAATATATTTATGCAGTTTTTTTTGGGGGGGGAGGTTATCAGAAATACGCCAACGCTTTTATCGCAGTAACTGTTGTTCGATTGTAAGAGGATATCCTGTTTTTGGAATTAATTGAGATGTTTCATAAGAAGTCATACCTAAATTTTCAGACAAACCCTTTGTAGAGACATTAGGTTATTTCGAAGCAGGAGACATGAAAAATGAGCAATGCCCTCACGGGACTCGAACCTCGGACTTCTCGAATACGCGTCCAGTGTGCTGACCATTACACCAAGAAGGGATGCTAAGAAGGCGGGAGAAATACCTTATACATTCTGAGAAAATTTCAAAAACATAATCTGTTTGCTAAATCTCAACGAATAGAAGAATATTTAAAACTCGACGACTTTATATATATATTCTTTCTTCCTATTTATAAATATATGTATTGGCTTGTTATTTTAGTTCAGATGTTTTAATTCCATGTGCTGCTTCAACTATGAATGTCGCAAAGACTCATTTGTTTAGGCCGTATAACGAATTATACAAAATGGTTTTTCCTAAACACCTTTCATGAAGCCATATTTTATATAATTGTCAGAATACTGTTGAATTCAGGACTTTTTTCCTTTTCGTAATTGTAATGAACAGTCACTCACACGGCTGTTTGTTAGAGTTGTTCTTAGAACTTGCGTTTTGGGTGAATGTCATTTTACTGTTTATTGTTAGTTGTCATCAACAAAAATGTTTCCTGTCTGTACATCCACTGATTGTTCACCGGCATTATAGATGCCACTTTTTTAAATTTTTGTTTTATTGTCCATTTATCCATTGATAATCTTATGTGATATAATATTATAATTATTGATAAATAGGTACAAAAAATGCACGCAGTATCTGAACTAATAACTAACAATCGAACGTTAATTAATAATCGTAAGGGTGAGAATTAATATGTCTCGCCACCAAGCGCTGACTGGAATATACTAACAACGTTTCTCCGCTTTAGTTCAAATTCGATATCGTCGTTCCTCATGCAAAAGTATTGGCTGAATCTGCTGCCTTACACCAGTCAAGCCTTATTAAGTTTCGGTGACGTCACAGATAATATTAAAATAGGAATTAAAAAATCTGATGCGAACACCACATGACTTCCTTGTACGGAATATTAAATTATACGCATTATTCTTGCATTTCATTTAAACTTATGGAATTAAATCTACTTCGTCGACAGCGCATAAACCACAATAGAATAAATGCACTCTTTAAAATTCACTCTATTTATTTACCATAGCGAGAATCTGGAGCTAGCTTCACCTAACAGTATTGTAGAATTTGACTTGATTCACAGCATGAGAGCACGAAGTAATAGTTAAATGATTTATTTAATAGAAAGAAATAAAAGTAAATAAGAAAAGTAAATAAAGATGAAGTTAACGGTATGCAGGATTAACATAATGATGCCCCAACAGTTTTTTTTTACACCTAAAGGCATAACATCAAAAGCTCAATCTAAGTTCATAAACTCTTGAAGACGTGTGAGCCGTCTGCTCACTTCTGCCCTCCACTCTCGACCAGGTCTCAGCGCTGTCTGGGATGATTCTTACTGCGCTGGGCTGATGCTATACTGGATGACGTCATAACGGTATTCTCAATTCAGCATTGGACGTTATGATTTCCCACAGCTTCGGCCAGCCTGAAGAGGCATCGTCCTCGATGTCTGTTGAATGGACATCACCATCATGATGATATACCTGCAAAAAGAATAAAAAAAAAAGAAAAGAAAAAAGAGTATCAGGTCCTTAGGCTTTGAGCTGATACAAACATCAAATCATTTGACCATGGGCTTCATATGGTCAGCCGCAGTAGATGTCAAATTTGGTCCTTCATGGCATCCTACTTTCTTCGACTTCATATCTGTCAATTTGATCTAACAGCTATGATTTTATTATGATTTTATACGGTCCATGAAACTTAGGTCGTAGTTTTCAAACCAATCCCATATTGAGTTCTCTGAATGGCTACCAAGTCGCCAATCTTGTACAGTTTCGGTTTCTTTCGTTTCTTGTTGAATTGTTTACGATTCTCTTCTTGTATCTTCAAAATGTTGTTTTTAGCATCTTCTCTCATTTCATCACCGTTCTTGCATCAATTGCTTTTAAATATTCTTCATTCAATATCTCACTAATTCTCAAATCTTCTTTTGTTCTTCATTTTCGTGCCTATGAGAAGCTCAAACGGTGAATATTTCGTACTTCTCGTAGTTGTACTGTTGATTATTCTCTGAACATCTGGAACATACTTAAACCATTTCGTTGAATCTTCATGTGATAATTTTGACAAAACAGGAATCAAAATTCCTATGAATTCGCTCAATTTGTCCGTTACCTCTTGGAATACCGGTAGTAATTTTGACATGTTCTATTCCTTCTTCAGTACAATAAGCTGAAAATTCTTTCGATGTAAAGGCACTACCTCGATCTGAAATGATTCTGGCTGGGATTTCCAAATACAGTCTGTTGTTGCTTCAATTTTGAAAATAACTTCTTGCGTAGTTGTGGTGATTTCACTGGATAGAACCAAGTAAATTTCGTAAAAGCGTCGACAACAGTTAAAATGTGTTGGTATCTCTTGTTCGTTGATGGAAGAGGTCCAATAAAGTCGAACATGATACGTACTCAAGGAACGTTTTCTTTCGGTACACGGATGAAGAAATCCTTCTGCTTTTCCTTGCTTTCTTGTTGTTACAGTATACATTCTATACAGTTCAGCAATTACTTTTTCAACTTTGCATTTCAGTCTGGGAATATAGAATTCTTGCTCTACAGCATTCACAGTTTTATCTACAGCAAAGTGACCTTTTTTATGTACTTCTGTATGATTTCGTTTTGTAGGGATTTCTGGCACTACTAGAAGATCTTTACCATTTTTCAAATTTGTACAAAATATCATTTCTCACGAAGAATCCATTTCCTTCTCCCTTTCTCAACTAAATTCTTTATCAATTTCACATGTTCATCTTCATTCTGTTGTTGTGCTAAACGAATCTTCTCAGTTTACATCGGATTGTGTATGATGTTAAAATTAGAGCATTTCTACTTAAAGCATCAGCATGTTTCATTTGGCTTCCTGAACGATGTACAAT